GCCACAAGCTAACATGCTAGCCATGTTAAAAGATGGTACATTTAGGCTGGTGCAGATCATTTGAATATTAGAGTATTTGTTTCATTAATAGTGGTTTCTTTGTTTAGTATTTGGAAGCTTTGCCTTCCTTTTCTTTGACACTCAAAAAATTGAAGCTTAAATTACAATACATTATCAGTAAAGGCCTGTAGATTGACCCTTCATTGTTTATAAATGGAAAATGTCTAGAATAAATAAAATATTAAAAGGCTCAACAAACTGCCCCCCTAATTTGGTGGACAAAAAAGTAAAGATGCCTGAGAAATCTTGTGTGGAAGCACTTTTTAAGCACTAAATTATCGGACGAAAAGACGTTGATCCACAACAAGTTCAGTGAATCCTCTCAAGTATGTAAATATAGTCATCCTCATCTGAGTACCACATGCCTTACACCGCAGCTTATTTTAGCTCATTCACTGAAATACACTATTAATACATTGTTGTGCCCTACAAGGCACATTTTGAAGCACAGAAAAAAAACATCTTTAAAATGATGGTTTATTATGAAATGGAAATATTATTGGGCCTCATTCATCAATATCTTCCTAAGTTTTTTCTGAACTGTGTTCTTGAAAAAGGTCTTACAAAAAAAGTCTGTCAGATTCATGACGTGTTCTTAAACCTCAGAATTGTCCTCCCTTTGTGCTCTTGAGTGTGTAGATTCTATTCTTACCTAAGAACAAACCCCAAATAAGTAAAATGCTATTCGGTTCTAAATACAGTACTTTATACTGTCACACCCATACTAACTTCATAAATCAGGTGTAGTAGAGCAGGTGCAGTGCAGGTGCAAGACTATAATTAAAAACCAATACTAATAGAAAACTGGTGCTGTTTGGCCAAGGCTCTGTGAGCGTTTGATTTTCTTCTTAACTTGGCCTCGTCTCTCTGCCCACAGGTCTCCTTTGCAGACTACAGCCTCTTTGAGGTGCTGCTGAACCACCAGGTGCTGAGCCCCACTTGCCTGGACTCCTTCCCTGCCCTTAAGAGCTTTGTGGAGACGTTGTCCGCCCGCCCCAAGATCAAAGCTTTTCTGGATTCAGAGGACTACAAGAAACTGCCCATCAATGGCAACGGCAAGCAGTAATTCTGCTTGGGCTGAAGGAGTGTAGATAGATCTGCTCTAAAGCCATCAACTTGTAAACCTCATCGTACCTCAATATGACATATTGATTAGTGAAGCATTCCACTTTGTGGGTACCTTTTGTTTTTGGTAAGATTTAACACTGTTTGATACTCTTTTTGACTGACTAAAATGTATTTGTCATTTATTGGAAATAAAAAAGCCAGAAAAACACATGCAGTGTGTGTTTTCAGTTGTCTTAAGGTTATAGTTTATACTGTATATAAGCATTTTAAGGATAAACATTTACATTGCACATTTAGTGTGCATGCCCCATTAGATCTTGTAAGTACAGGGTGATTCAAAAAGATTCATCTGATTTCAAAATGATTTATTTCACTTGTAAATCATTACAGAACAATGCAGTAAACTGTAAATGGTTTAAATGAGCATAAAGTTTATAATGTAATTTTACAAGTGCTCAATATGAACCTCCTCCAGCTGTACGGACAACATCAACGCCATAGTCAAACTCATCCCACACTCTATTGAGCATGTCGGGTGTAACTGTACTCACTCCAGTGTTGTGGAACCAACAACTGCTGATGAAAATCACGCTGCACAGTTATGACGGATTCACTCTTATTGAAGTGGAGAACATAAACGCTTTCTGCTCAGGGGTCTCCATCTCCCCTCAGACTGAAGGGAGCCATCTTCCATTGACAGAAACTCTATGACCTCCTCTTTCAATTGGTATGTGATTGGTTCCTAGGTGCCTCACGGTTGTAAAAATATGGCGCTTTGAAATCGGATGAATCTTTTTGAATCACCCTGTAGTGCCAGCTTTTACTAATCTATCTTGAGAACAGTGGTAATCACGATTATCTATTTCATTGCCTCTTTTAGCTCATACTAAATTCAGTCATGTGACAATAACAGGTCTGTGTGAGCCAGCAAGATATCTAGTCATGTACCTTGGAGCAAACGAACATGTTCCATGTGATTTTTGGTGGGTTTTATTGGTCAGTGCAGTCGTCCACACAGTCTAATCCAGGTCCTACACCCCTTCTCTTTTGTCTTCAGTTTAGGAAAGTGATGTAAACTTCCTTCCCTCAGAACTCTTGGGATATTACGCTATTTACAAGTAAAGGTAGAGTTCTAATGTTTGTAGAGGTGCTCAGGCCTGGCTACAGGTGTTAAGCTCTGATTGGACAATGGGTAATTAGGGGAGGGGCTCAGTGCCAGGTGTACCTGTGTAGGCTAGTAGGAGAATGGAAGACACTACAGCAAGCTGTTTTAACATTTGCTTGATATCAGCTGAATATTTAATTATTATTTGTTAAATGTGTGTTTTTAACAGCATTAAAAAATTATACATACCAAGATTTTACTAGTAGTGACTATTTTGTCATGTAAGATCTTACACTTCATTAAATGGCAGGGACAATGTGTTGAACCTGTTTTCACAAGTACAAATTTTATATTGACATTCTAATTTACATAACACAATTTACAAATAAATTTCTCACTAGTGAACACGTTGGGCTTCAGTCAAACCCACTTACTCAGTTTTTAGAAGATTCTGATATTTACCAGTTTTCTTATTTGGATTTTTTTTAGAGAAGAACAGAATCAAAACACACTCAAGAGCTCAAGATGTGAACAATTCAGTGGTTTAAGAACACGTAATGAATCTGACAGACTTTTTAGTAGAACCTTTTTCAGGAACAAATTTAATACAAAGGGCCCACGGTTCGGCCCACTGTTTTTTATGAGGTACTTGTAACAGTTTTGTTTAAAATGAATCTCTGATATTAAAACCTCTTTCCCAAGTAAACTCACATGGGTGACAATTTCTCATTTTTGTAGAAGATGGACAGTTACATGACATGAACTGTATGCAAGTGTGCACAAGCAGTAAAATTTACAGATTTCCTGCTGCCACCAGCTGGTTCCTTATATGTATGACACGTTGATACTATAGCGGCATCTCTCCATCAGCCAGTGCTGTAAGAACTGTCTTTAGTTCACTCTAGATCTCAGACTAATCACTCTCACACTAATCTCACACTTCTTGTAAGCATCTGAGCTGCCATCACTTCTATGTATGAAGCAAACAAAGAATAAAACTAACTTACTACATACAGTGTAAATAAAAAGTTATGGTCAGCATTCTTGAAGTGCAGTTATATATAAATGGAGCAGTGTGACTTTCAGTTGACCTGAACCGTTTAGTTTCCAATCTACGTTGATTGAGGGGAATTCTGCACAGTCCAGTCATTAAGATGTAAACCATCATTCAGAGTGGTTTGATGGGAAATGGTGCCTTTTTGAGAAACTTACCAATTCAGCTTTCTTTACCATGCAGTGACAGGAACCAGGGGTCACAATGACTACAATGAAAATGTCATTTTATTTGCCACCAAAAATCAACACTGAACCTACACATGCATTCTGAGATTCAATACGTAAAGTTAATAATGGTAAAATAATGGTGAATCTGAAATTAATGTCTTCTTTAAGGACTATTTTGCCTTTCAGTGCCCTCCATGTACCTCTTCGTCATTAAGGTATTTTAAAAATATGTTTTAGGCCTAAAATGTTAACTTAAAACCATTATAAAACAATGTCTTAGGCATCAGGGAATGTATTTGTAACAATTTTGTGTAAAAAACATCCCGTGAGGGAGCTTTTAGAGGCATGAATGCTTCAGACATCTGGTTCCCATCACCGCCACTGTGAATAATTCTGACTCGGCAAGTTTCTTCAGAGCAGACAATTTCACATCAGACTGCTCTGAATGACTTTGTTTACATCTTATTTATGAAATTATGCAGAAATTTTGAAAGATCAGTGGAATTGTCCTTATATTGTCAAGGTAACTATCCAAAGGAGTTAAACACTTAAGATAACTTTAAACTGACACTTCACCCAGACAGAGATGCAACAGAAAACTATTTCAGTGTTACATTATTTCTCTCAATCTATTACAGCATTTGAGTCAGAATAAAGAGGACTGAGATTATGAGATGTTTTCATATGGATGTTTTCCCCATCTTAGGCCACACGTCTGGACTTACGATGTGCTACAATAAAAAAAAAAAACAGCAACTGCTTACCTCTTTTTACAGGGAGGACCTGACCTACCATGTCTGGTTAGTTATTTTCCTAAGATTATAAAATCATGTAACAGTCCCAGTGTTCCAGGTGAACTTTAGTACAGCGCAGTAACTGAACAAGAACTTTAACAGAATCTCAAGGGTGCTTGTATTTTTTTTAATTTCACTTTTTTTTAATGAATATCAAAAAGTCATTTTTGGTGTGAAATCAGAGCCAACCAGAACATGGCACATAGACGAATGACAATTACATACATGACGTGTGTTATAAACCATTTGGCACACAATGATTAAACGCCCTAGAGCATTTAATACGCTCATCAAGTTGTCCATAGTTTAGGGCAACTTATTTTCTGGACATCATGAAGAGAGAGGTTGCCCGTCTGACAACCTTCTGCAATCCACAGGTATAAAAACGACTGTAAAAGTGTTCCAATAAGAAAACAGGATAACACTTTTCATAATCTGTCCAGAAATAGACTCATTTAAAACTTTTTGCCATTTATGTTAAAGCATACAGAAAACTGAAACACAACCACCAAAAAAAACAAAAAACAATAACTTAAATAGTACTAACTGTTAAACAAAACTCTTTTTCATCCAGTCATATGCTCGATTACATCCTCTTGTCTATACAAACCTGACTCCTGGACAGAAAATACCTTCACGTGACAATTATAAGAATGCAGCGTTCTCCTGATAAAATGTCGTTGGTGAACAAAACAGCAAGGAAACCACTTCTCAGTCTCACATGAGGTCATCAGGAGTTCTTCCTGATCATTACATTCATATGGCAGGTGCAAACAGTAGTACTTACAGTGCTTCACGTTTTGGGAAAAGATTCATACCGGTTGATTCGAGTGTTAGCGGCAGGTGCACTTTGTAGCGATCATCTCCTCATACTCCTTATAGGCGATAGAGCCATCGTTCTCAATGGTCAGGACACTTAAGGGGTCGTATTCTGAAGGAACGCATGAAGGCCTTGGAACAGAGGAGTCCAGCTTTTCGTAAATAATGTTCTGCACCATTGTGTGCACAGGCGAACCGTAGATGTAGCCCACGACCCTGGGGCAAATTCCCTTGCAGTACCTGGGGTTGTACTTGTGGGGGGCTATGATCCAGCGGTCCAGCTTGAGCTGGCTGAAGCTCACCCTGAAGTCGTACAAGTCGCAGTCATCCGTGGGGTACTCGTACTTGGGCAGGTCGGTCTCTGTGCTTGGCTTGGGTTCCTGAGTGCTGTTAGGAGGGCTCCTTCTATCCCTCCACATGTGCCTCACAGAACCGGATTGGCGACTGTGCCGGAGGGGCTTCATATCCCACTGGTTTGACGTGATGCTACCAAACCTGCTGTGTGCTGAACCCCTCTGATAGGCCACCTCGCTGGTGTCGTTGAGATACAGCAGCAGAGACGGTGCCATTTGCGTGAGCTCTATGGGGCTTCTATCAGAGAGGCCGTCCTCCAGGCAGGTGAGGTTGAGGAGCAGGTGGATGTCCTTCTTGTGGCTCCGAATGCGCGGCTGGAGGAATGAAGTCACGTCCACCTCCACCCACTTGCGCCGGCCGGCTCTCTCCGCGCGAACGTGGAAGCTAACAGGCGTGGCTGAGTAAGGGGAGCCTTGAGAGTGGAGGCAGATGCGGTCATCCGAGGGCACGTGCTCCTTCACGTGCAGATAGCAGACGGAGGCGAGAGAGGCCGCATGGTTGTGGCTGATGGAATAGAGCAGCACCGACTTGAGCAAGTGCTCCTGGGCTCGGACGCGGTCCAGACTGTAGGAAATGTCCTGCATGAAAAATTCTGAGAGAAATAAGACGTCACTGAGAGTCAAAGTCTTCCTCCTGCTCCAAGAAGATTAAAAAATGACACGCTGTGCTTTGTAAACAGTACTGAGAAAAGTCAGAGACCATCATTCATTTCCTTTACAGTCAAATCAGCCATTAAGTACAAAGTTATTCATTTTTTAAGAGATATTTCTAAAGATTAGACATAAAAAGGAAGGAGAAATGAGTGAAAACATTTGTTTTCTAAACTGGAGTTCATAAAATGATTAATAGATGTAGAGAAAATGGGGCTCCTAACAACCATGCCAGACCTGGCAGACCACCAAATATGTCACTATCAGATAAACAGCACTTAAAGCTCTCATCTTTGAGAGAGAGGAGAAAATCAAGCTGCTTCAGATCTGAAAACATCCGCAGGTGTTTCTGTCCATCCTTCCACTGTGGGACTGAAAGCAAAAGTGGAAGCAAGTGTCCTGACAAGAATGGAAGCTTAATAAGTAAAGGACGCATTAAAAATACTGAACAAATTATGTTATATATATTTAGTTGTTGAGGCTTCTGTGTACTTTTCTTTGAAATGTATGTTTTGTTCAGTTTTTTTCCTGATGCTAAAAATGAATAACTTGTATTTAATGGCCGTTTTGACAGGAAATTACATAAATGAAGGGTGGTCTCTGACTTTTACACAGTGTTTTTTTTTAACTGCTGAAAAAGCAGCCCAAATACTAAAGCCTCAACAGCTCAAATGTGGCCATGGTCAGCCTAGAATACTTTTTTTATTATTTATTATTACTAAGTGGTCCACCATCCAATGAGCAAGAATAAGGACTGATTAATGGCACTGAAAAAGCTCTGAATACAAAAACTAGCATTCAAAAAAAGGTCTCTCATTTTTAAATGCCTTTTTGTAAATAAAGGGACCCTCGTATTTTTGCTTATGATGTATGAAAGGTTCCCTGATCCTTTTTAAGCATTTTAAAAAACAAATACATTATTGACTACAGTTGCTGTAAGCCAGATTTGTTGATTTACCAGTTAAATGGCACTGTTAGGTTGCTATTAGCCTTACTCGGTAAGCACTTTTCGTAAGGAATACCAGAATGCCAAACCTGTGAAAACAGACAAATCAAACATCAATATGCTGTCAGTTGATATTAAAAAAAACAATGGTTTCTTGCTTTGTAAAAGGTGGCGTAGCTCATATTTGACTGAACGGGAGACCCGATTATATTGCAGTGTCACTATCAAGGCGGTTTATAAAATGGACATTTCCAGTTCTAAAATCTGAGTCATGTTCAAAGCCGTAAACGTGAATGTAAACACACACAGGACAGTAAACAATAATTGAATTCTATGTAAACGCACCAAGTTAATAAAAACTACTGCTCATGGAGTAATCTTTAAATATTAGGCTCAGATACCTATCTAACTCAGTAAAACTCTAAACTTGTCAATCCACACATCAGCAGACTATTCAGGTGCACATGGTGATCATCTAGTAATGTGACCTCATCCTAAGGGCTGTCCCAAAAGGCACCCTAAGCCTTCCTCCTTTAAGTCTGTACTTTGCTTGCATCAACAACGTGCTGCTGTAGAATGCAAGAGATTTTGGGGGCACTAGGTTTATATATTTGAATCTGGGACAGACTGTACAGGCTGTACATGTAAATTAGTTCATTTGCTTATCTACAGTGGCTAAAATCACCTGGCAGTATATGCCTGGTTTTAGAGGACATTCAACTACAGCTCAACCTACTCATCAGCCAAAAAGACTCCAACAAGGTGTAAAACTTGAAATGTGAGCTGCTCAGACACATTAGCCTGGACGTGACGTGCTGTCACCGTGCTACAGAGACTGTTATTGAAAGAGACAGATCAAAAATATACAAATGTACTTAGAGCTCTACAGAAGCACTTTTCTGATGTGGAGCTAAACCCACTTCACTGCAGCGCTACCTGACCCATAGCTGACTAATGTACTTCATTTAAAATCAGCCAGATTTTATTGATTTAATTGTTACAGTACACTAAATGACACCGCAGTCATTTAGACTAACAGCCACTTCATTCCAAGTAGGTTGATTAGTATGTATCGTAGAGTACCAAAAAACATCATATTGTAATCATATGCTTCATCCCTAGCCTTGGGTTCCTTGCAGGCACACTTAAATAAGTGCCGCAAGTGTGCACAACGGGGCAGAATTAGCCAACTTGGCTTCAGTTGCAAAGATACAGGACATCCGAGTGAAGACAAACAGAATGTAGTCCCTGTTGGAACAAAACCGTCTCCAAAATAGTAACTTTCTTAACCTTTAATGGACGTTTAAGGAGAAATCATTTATCCCAAGTTATTTTGGATTATTTCTATTGGTCTACTCATCATGAAAAAGGTCAAAAATGAGATCTGAGATTTTGTCCCAACAGCAACGATATGTTTTAAAAAAAGGGGTTACAGTTCTAAATTCTGACTGGTGGAGTCAAGTTTGTTCGAAGCTGTTGTAAAAAAATAAAATAAATGAAAAATGGAAATAAACACAAACCAGTTGAATTGTGTATAAATGGGCCGCCTGTTCATGGAATAATTGTTGACAGTTGTGTTGCTTAGCAACCATAGCCTACTGATAGCAAGTACATGGCGTGGAGATAAAATTGTTTATTATTATTACTACTATTACTATTATTATTATTTTCGTTGTTGTTCATTTAAATAACACATTGAACTCTCTCGTTATTTCCTATCGTATTTTGTTGCCCGTCTGACAACATAAACATTGGTGAAATCACGGCCTCTAGTGGCTGACTGGCTGAACTGCACCCGGTCTAAGTTTGAATGTTTGTCGTTTTTGTGCGCAAATCACGCGTTTAATGCTTTCTTTCATTATTGATATTTTAGCTTTATGTCTCCCACCTAATGTACGCCCCTACCGTGAATCTGTTATGAATGTTTCCTGCCCGTACTGTGAGCCTGTTTGTCTCCTTACCTCTGCTGTGGCCCAGGCACTCCTGTCGCGGAGTGATCAGGCGGGCGGTGTTGTACAGATGGGGCGCCTCGTGGTGGCCGCGCTCCTGCTTGGACGACAGCCTGTAGAGTCTCTTCATGAAGCGGACGTATCTGGAGTCAGGTCTGGTCCGCGGAGCCGCCGCCGCTCCCCACGGCTCCTGCTCTGACAGGGCCTTCAGCAGGGGGCTCAGGATGTTCCCGTGATGAGGCAGGCTGTCCTCGCCGGGAAGCAGAGCCTCGCCGAGGAGGGCCAGGCCCGAGCCGCCGACCACCAGGAGCACCAGGACCGCCTTAAAGCGACAAAGCGGGCAGCTCAGCTGAGCCATGGTCCAGGAATCCATCACACTTTAACACCTTCCGAGACGACACCGCGGAGTCCCCAGCCGAACAGAACTTCCGTCGCCTTTCACCTCACACCTGTGAGCAATCATAGCAGGGTGTGACCTTAGTTCAGCCGTGTAGCCCCGGTGCTGAGACATGGGAGCAGTTATGGCTTGACATGAATTTTCCCGTTCCACCTTAAGTGGTGCAGCAGAACAACGCGCCTGAATGTAACTCAACGGCAATCCAGATGTTAAAAAGTCATTTTGTCCTTTCAATAAAAATAAAACCGCTTTGGGAGCCACAAGTGATGTCCATTTTACCATCTTGGCCGTAAACGTGTCTCAGTATGTCCTAATGCACAAGTATAGGCTATAAAATATAATATAAACAAAAACACGGACTCGCTTTGCTCTGCCGTTAACTGTAGCTCAGCCATGGCCGCTTTTCTCGCATCTCCGGCAGCACTTTCCCTCAAAACTAGAAGTTTTTTTGGAAAATGTCTCTCAGCGTTTGACTATTTACGAGGCTGAAGTCAGCTTCGTCCGCTTCTTGTTAAACTTGTCCCGTTCCACCTTAAATGCTGCTTGAGGCGCCAGAATAAAACTGATGCACCACTTAAGGTGGAACGGGAACATTTGAACAAGAAGCTGGCGAGTTTAGTGTTTGACAGTTTCTCGTTGCAGATTAAACGTATCAGGAAACCAGCTGGAGTGTGTATAAACGCAAATAAGCCCATTTGTCTCCAAATCGTCGATGTTGGTCTGAAATCTCTCTGCTGTTTTGTTAGCTACTAGCTAGGCGAGGGTGTCTGCGTTGCTATGGTGACCAGCAGTCTGCGCGCCAACCTTCAGGGTTGAAGGGTGAATTAGCAGTTGTAGGCTACATTAACTGCACCGTTTAAGGCCGGTTATTGCTAAAACCGTGTTTGAACGATCAGCAGAGCTTTATTTTACTGCAAAGGAGGATTATTTTATTTTAAAAACATATTATTTTTAACCTCAAGCCTGTTTTAGTAAATATTAGTCCTCCCAAATCAATGTACATTGTTAGATCAAGTGGTCAACAGTATTTTTCATTGATTCTTTATTAGGTTACCCAACTGCACTTGATGTGTGGGTAATACACTATGAAGAACAGAGCTACCGTGTGCCAGCTTGACCAAACAGCCATTTGGTGTTACATTTTCTACCTATTGCTACTCTAATAGTTCATGATGATCAGATATTTTGAGGAGACCCCCTTAGTATAGGCGTAGCCCCCCAGTCCAGTAAATCTCTAGTGATGCCCTTGCCCAACCTGCTTGATTTTGTGAGCGAGGTGGTGATTTGGAGAACTCAGCGGACAAAACATTTATATTCTGTAAATACCTGAACTACAAATGTGACAGACTATTTCCAGTAGTCTGACACCTGGGCAGCCTTACTACAAGCTGCAGGTATCAAAGGTGTTGGGCAGCTCCACCCTGTGAACTTCCTAGACAGTCGACTAGTGGCTGGGTAGTTATACTCACGATGCAGTCTAAGGTAGATGGATTAGATCAATTCATCTACAAAGGCTAATCTCCTTAATTATCACACTGCAGTGCTGCCTATTGCCTAAACATGACACCAGCAATTCACTTTCAAACAATTGACTGTACCTTGAGTGTAATCTGAACCAGTCAGCCCGTTCTTTTGTATACAAATGGCTTGATTGGATTAACAGAACCAGTTTGAACTTCAGTAATGCAAACATATGAGAATTCTGGGATTCTGGAGCACTTTTTTTTTCTTGGACAGAGAACTAACTAAACTCACAGTGTCTACAATGCAAACATAGGCATTTTATTTACTATTCAAAACAAACACTGGTAACTAATAACCTGTAATTTTGATAATAGTAAATTGGTGGTAAATCCAAAAAATACCATTTTGCTTTACCCCACCCTGTATGTAGCCCTCCTCCATGAATGGATTGTGTAAAAATACTTTTTAGGCCCGAACCTTACTGCCCTACTGCCCACTATTGAATAATTCTGACTCTGTAAGTTTCTGTAGTGGCACATTTGACATCAAACCAATCTGAATGAGTTTACATCGTAATGATAGAACTATACAAGTTTGAAAAATAGGTGGCTTAACCCGACCCTAATCGTGTAGGGCAAGGGTCCTCCAAGACCAGCATCTGGAAGCATAACTAGAAATGGTTAGTGGTGGACGAAGACCCTGCCTATATACTACAATGTATACTTCAGCAATAATCACTTTTCTTGCCATTTCAACGAGTGGCCCCTAAGAACTATGTCAGGTTGCATATTATAAGCCTTAAATTTAAAGAACCTTATAAAACCTGCACTGATGTGATACATCAGTAAATGTCTTTGCAGCCTGTGGGAAGGTATGCCATAATTCTGCATCACATGGAGACTCCATTTGTCATGAAATTATACTGAGCAGAGTCAAATGAAGATTACATGGATTTTCTGTCCGTTTAAATGAGTTTATCCCCCAGCTGGGCTGCGTAGAGAGGCTGAAGCCCCTGAGAGTCAAGGGCACTTAGACCAGGACACATCACTGCACACGAGCCTCAGGGGGAGCTGCGCTGTGAAATTATAACTGCATCACTGACTGTCTGGACAAAGGCTCTGTAATGCCTCCCAGGCTGTCCTCAGCATTTATGAGCGGTACACTAAATGCCTCTGTCTGCTGTATGTGATCAGTGTTAACTGACTCCATCTGTATGCGTCAGGGAAACAGTGCTAATATGGACATAAAACAGATCAGAATCACCTGGATGAAGTCTGGTTGGAACAAACAAACCCAAAATGGTGCTGCTTCTGCAACTTCAAAATACCAGAAAACAGTAAATCTTCTTTATATAGAATCATATAGTGCATACAATGTGTGCCATTCATGCTACAGTTGCAAAGCTACAAGTTTATGATTTCAGTTATTGTTTTTGTGTATTATCTCCATGATGGAGAACCTGTTGTATTAAGTTCTTTAAAGAACCTTTTAAAATGATATACACAGTGGTTCTATATAGCACCAAAAGGCACTATTGTTACACCTAATAGAACCTTTTGCTATGTAGGATCATTTTAATCATTTTGCTAAAATTGTAGGCCGATGTTAAGACTTTAGAGTTTACATAAGAGTTTACATAAAAGAAAATTCCAATGAAATTTTGGATTTTCTGCATGATTAAATTGTTAAATAGATAAACAGAGTCATTCAGAGTGGTTCGGTGTGAAATGCTCCGTTCTAGAGAAACTTACTGAATCAGAACTGTTCTCAGTGTTGGTGACAGGAACCAGACGTCTGAAGAGTTTAATGCCTCTAAAAGGCCCTTCACACAAAGTTATTATATTAAATGGTCACAAATATGTTGTCTGAGACATTATTTTATGATAACATTTAAAACATTATACAAAATACATTAATGTCACAGAGGTGCGTGCAGGGCACTGTAGGGTAAATTATTTTATTCTATTTATTATTTATTTATTATAGTCTTAAACTTGTTTTACCATTGTCAATTTCATATATAAACACTTAGAAACACACTTGTAGGCTTAGTCATTGTTTTGGATAGTAAATAAAATGCCTATATTTGTGTTGCAGACATCGTGACCCCTGGTTCCTATCACCACCACTGTAAAGAAATCTGAGTTAGTACGTTTCTCTACAAATAACCATTTGACATCAGACACATTTGAATAACTTTGTGTACATCTCAACAATATAATTATCACAAAATTGAGAGAAATTGGTGGAATTTCCCTTGAGGGGCTGTAAATGGAAACAGCAGGATTTCAAATTAGTATTACATCCTTTTTTGTAATGTATTACTCTGGAATTCTTATTATTTGAACTTTTCCAAACAAAGCTTGTATTAAAGCTTGTAATAAATCCCACGACTTTCCTGCAGTCAGTCATAGACCTGACTGGTCAGGGCCCGGTGTCTGAAAAGTTTTAGTGTTAAGATCATCTAAACTGGCAGAGAGAGTATTCAGTGTGATGCTCCTGCTCCCATTTAAGGATACTCTTTGTGCTGAGATGCTTTCGGGAAACTCGGCCCAGAAAAGCTGTACTGATTGAAGAGCCATCAAAAAAGTCATCTGTTCTTTTATAGAAACGAGGCAAAACGTGATAAATTCAAGGCAAACATTCTTCCAGCCCACGCAGAGCAGACGGACATCTCTCTTTTATTCTCCAACACAGCGGTCAGTGTTTCTGAGGAGGCACGTTCGTCCACACTGAATCGGATATGGTAGGAGTTAGCGAGCGAGTAGTCATTCATAGAGAAGAGAAAAACATTGTTTCTGCTGAATGTGTGTTGTGGCTCATTATGCAGCAGCAACAAGTGAAAACAAGTGCTGATATTAAGATGTAACTGACTCACAGCTAAACCTGAAAGATTCATATTTTCTATATCTATATTGCAACATGAAAGACTGCAATTTTCAAATGGGAAGAGCTGCAATTTTTTATTTATAACCTATAATATCAACAATGTGAGGAAACTCTACCTAATAACATGGAACTGGTGAACTGGCCGTAGATGAGTTTGACCTATCAGAAACAACCAAACATCCACAAGTCCACTTCTTCCCAAATATTTTTCCCAAATTGTTAATCCTTACGCTCGATCTTAAAAAGATGGCTCTTTTAGGGTTCTTTGATAAAGGCAACAGTTCTATTTAGAACCATGAGTTCCATACAGAACCATCTCTCATCTTCTATTGTTACCATATAAGACTATATCGTTGCTGTCGGAGCAAAACCTTGTATTGCCAAAATAGTGACTTTACAGCAGAAGGAAAAAACCTACTTTACTTTTAATGTAAGTCAATGGAACCAGACATTTTCCCAAGTAATTTTGGGCCGTTTCTTTTGGTCCATTCATTGTTAAATTTACACACAGTGTAAAGGCCAACAGGTATTTTCAAATTATGTTAAAAACTGAAAAACAACAAAAATGGAGATACAAGGTTTTGTTCCGACAGCAGTGATATATAGAACCATATACAACACTCTCCATCAATCTGAAGAACAATTTCACCGTGCAAAGAACCCTTCAAGCTTGAAATGGTTCTATATACAACACATGGTTCTGAATAGAACCATTGAAGAACCATCTTATTGCTGTCTAAATATAATTCTGTTATATCACTAATGCATTACAGTCAAAATGGTTATACAGTATCTGTGGCTAATATGTTCCATTCCATATTACATTAAAACACAAAAATCTTTCCAGTGCTTAAAGACTAAACATTAGAGATAGTCCAGATTAAAGTGACAGACAGATTAGGCTAATCAACCTGTTCTAGAAACCCACACACACATTAGTTATTCTGAGCACACTATCTACAATTAAATTACACTATAAATAACACTAAATTACACTAATAAAGTATTTTCAAGTGCATCTAATTTGGTCAGTTCATTAGTTTTAGTGTAGCGGTCTGCGATTGAATGTAGCGCAGTCCCTCCTGTTCTCATCTTGGTCATCACTGATGAAATGGAAGCTTGGACGATGTCTCGGTTTCTTCCTGTGCCCCACACTGGACTGAAACAGTTTACTGAACGTGCTGAGCCCTTTGGGCACATCCGAAAAGTGCTTATCATCATCCGAGTGCCCGTGTTCTGCAACCTGAAGCGAAACGCGAGGGTCTCCGAGCATCTCTCTCACCTCAGGTGACACGTCTTTGCGTAAGTAGTGGTAGGGCTTTTTGCCACTGTTGTCACGGATGTTGCAGTTGGCTCTGTAGATGCACACCAGAAGGTTTAGGACTGACTCCTGGCTGTGAATGGCAGCAATGTGCAGAGGGGTGTAGCCATCATGGCTTTTGGCATTCACGTCAACCTCCAAGCCACCTTGCCGTGAAACGTCCAGGATCTGACGCACCGCTTTGCTGTTTCCTTTCTTAGCAGCCCAGTGGAGGACGGTGAAGCCTGAGATGAAGTTCTTCTTCTCCACCAGCTCAGCGTCCTGCAGGAGAAGGCTGTAGACTTGACCCCAGCAACCTGTTGCTGATTTTACCAGCCAGTCGTGTTCTCGTTGCTCCAGAGGGATCAGAGCCAAATCCTTGGCTTCAGAACCCGGTTTGGTCACTCTGGTGCTCCTTGGCGGTGCTGGAGAGCTAGGTCCCACCGAATGTCTCCTTTTGCTTCTTAGTGACCTATAGAGACGTCCTTCAGCTGAACTCAGATATGATGAGTTACAGCCAACTGCTCTACTTTTTCCAGCAAACGGCTGCGGCAGAACCCCAAACGGAACCTTTTGCTGAGCGGCAAGGTCATCTGGTGCTTTGGGGATGAGCTTCACCCTCTCGCTGTGGACTTTTTCAGACTTTAAATGAGGTGATGGTGGAGATTTTATTGCCACAACAGCAAAAACAGCCCCTGTTTTACCTATTCTGCCATTAGAGACATTAAGTACTGTAGCAGTTAAAGAATCATCTAGGCTGGTTCTGGTCTTTGTCGCAGGCGAGATCATTCCGGGATCACCATCAGGAGAACTTCTCATTTGAACTTGTGGCTTCATAGATAAACTCCCAGCACGACCAATGCAGCAGTTAACATTCGGGCCTGAGCAGAAATAGGAATTATTAATATTATTATCATTATTATTGTTTAAGACATCTGCAGTGGAAGCCCATTCCTGACACTTAAAATATCTACCACCTAATTATAATCTTTTCAGTATTAAATGAATTGCTATGGTATTAATTTGAGATACTAAGTCATTACTAAGACTAAGACATAAGTTATTTTGAGAAGCTTCCTCATTATACAACCCCATTTCCAAAAAAGCTGGGACACTGTGCAGAATGAATGCAATTATATGCAAATCATGTAAACCATGTTTTAAAAGGAAAATAGTAGAAAGACAACATATCAAATGTTGAAACTGAGAAATTTGATTGGTTTTTGAAAAATATATGCCCATGTTGAATTTGATCCCAACAAAATGTCCTGAAAAAGTTGGGATGGGGGCCTGTTTACCACTGTGCTTCATCACCTCTTCTTTTAACAACACTGTGTAAGTTTTTGGGAACTGAGACACTGCTTTTGTTTTGAAAGTGAAATGTTTTCCCATTCTTACTTACTGTCACTGTTACTGACCTGTTGCCAATTAACCACCAGGTGTTTTTTTTAGCATTAGACAACTTTACCAGCCTTTTGCTGCCCCCATCCCATCTTTTTTGGAACATGATGTTGGCATCAAATTCAAAATGTGCAAATATTTTTTTAAAAAACAACAAAATTTCTCAGTTTCAACATTTGATATGTTGTCTTTGTACTATTTTCAATTAAATACAGGGTTTAAAAGATTTGCACATCATTGCATTTTGTTTTTATTTACATTTTGCTTTTTTGGAAGTGGGGTTGTATATATATTGTGTATGCTATTAAATTGAGATGCTTGATGCATCTTAATAGCATAAAGCATCTCAAATTATGAAACCTTTAATGAATTCAATTTAGTTAATTAATAAATTAAATAATTAAGCCATTTAAAAATAATTAAATAAGTATTAATGATGAAACTTAAGTCATTAATTTGAGAGACTGTGCCATTATTTTGAGATACTATGTCATTCATTTGAGATGCATTTTGCTTTCAAGATAGTGTCTAAAATAATGATTTAGTATCTCAAAATAGTGATAGTGTCTAAAATAATGACCTGGTATCTCAAAATAATGAGATAGTGTCTAAAATAATGACCTGTTATCTCAAAATAATGAGATAGTGTCTAAAATAATGATTTTGTATCTCAAAATAATGAGTGTCTAAAATAATGACTTAGTATCTCAAAATAATGACATAGTGTCTAAAATAATGACTTAGTATCTCAAAATAATGAGACAGTGTCTAAAATAATGACAATATCTCACAATAATAAGGTATCTCAATAATGACTTAGCATTTAAAATTAATGACTTGGTATCTCAAAATAATGAGATAGTGTCTAAAATAATGACTTAATATCTCAAAATAATGAGTGTCTAAAATGACTTAGTATTTCAAAATAATGACATAGTGTCTAAAATAATGACTTAGTATCTCAAAATAACGGCCTAGCAAATCACTAATAGTTCACAAAGTGGTGTGAATAGGCTTCCACGGGGTTTAGAAAGAGACTCACGCTTGGAGAAGCTGCTGTGTTGGGTGGTGGTCGCGGTGCGGGATGTGGATGAAGATGTTTCCAGGGCTGAACCGAGACTTTCTGGTTTCTCCTCCACCGTTTTCCCCGCCTGGAGCAGCTCCTGGTACTTCTTCTTCACCACCACGTACTTCACATCGTCGATCTGCTTAACGACGGCCACGCTGTTGACGAAGTTCTTGAACAGGTCTCTGTTTCTCCTCCTCTCCGCGGGCTCGCTGGAGCTGATGAAGTCTCTGAAAGCGCCCAGCAGCTCAGAGTTCCTCACTTTGCCTCCGCGCTCCAGTAGAAACGCTAAGACGAGCCCCTGCGACACGGCCATGCCTCAGACCTCCGCCCGTTCCTCCAGAAAACGGACAAACGGAACGTCCATCAGCAGAGGAGGCACTGTGAACTTCAAACTGAGCAGCCACCCCCCCGCGATGTTTTTCTACAACCTGCTGCTTCCGGTTATCCCACAAAAAAGTTATCCCCTCCTCCTCCTCCTCCTCTTTCACCCCTCTCTAATCCCCCTTTCGGGCTGCGTGAACGCGCACTGCGCTGAACTTGAGCATGCGCGCCCCCGAGACCGCCCTGCCTCCCTGTGAACTTACATAGAGTGTAATAGAGACCAGTAGAACACTGTAGATCCCATTAGGAAACCATAAAATGTGTTTAGAACCAGTCGTTGGTCCCCGGTTAAACCATTAGGACCCTTCACACTGTGATATCAACCCATTAAAAAAGCCAAAACACTTCACAAAAACATCAGGAAACCACAGAAACACAATGTTTTCCATGGGTTTTTTTTTCCAGCAGGTGTGTTAAGATGTAAATAAAGTCATTCAGAGTGGTTTGGTGTGAAATGCTCTCTTCTAGAGAAACTTACAGAGCCAGAATTTGGTGATGGGAACCAGACGTCCGAAGAGTTTAAAGGGGAACTCCATCGATTTTGCAAAACATAATCATTTAATGGTTTAGATGTAAACAAAACCATTCAGAGTGGTTTTGGTGCGAAATGCGCATTTCTAGAAAAATTTGCAGTCAAAATTGTTCACCATTGTAGCACCAGGAACCAGACATCTGTATGTCTACACTACAAATATCACTATTTTATCTGCTACCTGAAATTACTAGTGAACCTACATGTGTCGAAAATCTACGCACCGGCATTTTCACTACAGCAGAAACTGGAACCAAGGTAAGAAACGTTTGTGAGTGAAATAAATGACCATTAATAAAGATAAACTTATCAATATTTTCATCCATATTGCTGCATGGACACATGCACAAGAGTAACATATCTGTATATAAGACCATCAATTACATCACATAAATACCTTTGTACCCAGACTTACTGGAAAAGTCTTAGTTTTGATGAATCCAGGTTGATTTCCTCTACATTTACACTTGCTACGCTTACTTTCTCGTTGTTAAAATGTGCTGCCTTTAAGGATGCAAGCATGTACCGCAAGCCTTGGTACAGAACAGTTACAGAGGTAACTCAAGTTACAGTATACTTCTTCAGCATTAATGTTTTGCACAATCATGCAAACTGTAATTTCATATTAAAAGTACCTGTTTATAGACCTTCTACTGTGTCAATGAAAATAACATGTACCATTTACTATATTACATAAATGATGGCAAGAATAAAACAAATAAACACATGCTTATGAAATGAAGCCAGTAAGCTGCAGTTTATTGAAAGACTGTGTTGCGTAACAACTACAAAACAGGCCAAATCCAAATAATAAATGTCACATTCACTCATAGCTTCAGTCAGATTTCAGCGTAAGAAAATACACGGCAAGAAGAGCAATAAATAACAACGGCTGAGTGCAGTGAAACCACTGTCGACTAATAAATGCATTGATTTTTGCGGAAGGCCTGCTTAGGTTAAGCTGCTCCTCTGTGGCCTTCAAAATCCTTCAAAACAGTGAACGTATAAAAAGGCACAGTAACATCGCTTCCCCTGTTCCATATCCTCCCTTTCCTTCTCCTTTAAAACAGGGAAACGTGAGAACACAGCACTGTAAAGAACGGCCACCTTCCACGAGTTCATTGTTTTTGAACAAGGCACACATCCCAGAGGAAACTCTACAATCAATACTCATCTTTGTCTGAAAGATACAGAGACAATGAATGCCTGGCTACAATACGTACTGTATGACTGAAAGACCTCACAAAATATTTTTAACTTGAATCTATTACAGACAACACACTTTAAGATGGTTCTTCGAGGGTTCTTTAGTAAAGGGAATGGCTCTGTGTAGAACCATGAGTTCTGTGTGGTTGGTATAGAGTAGTGGATAACAGCAGTCCTTGGGCTAGACTCCTAACACTTCCTTCACCTTCCTGTGTAAAACAATCACATTGTAAGTCACTTTGGATAAGAGCTTCTGCCAAATGGCAGAAACATAAGTGTTAAACGTTCTATATAGAACCATTTTTTGCATGGTGAAACGGTTCTTCAGTTTCACAGAGAATGTGTTGTATATGGTTCTATACTGAACCTTTTCAAAAATGGTTCTATGTAGAACCAAAAAGCGTTCTTCTATTGTTATATGCTTCACATCGTATTGATGCTTTTTGGTGCCTTTTCAAAAAGATCCTATATAGAACCACATACTACACATTCTCCATCAACCTGAAGAACCGTTTCACCATGCAAAGAAGCATGTAAGCATGGAACTGTTCTATACAGAGCTCATGGTTATAAATAAAACCGCTGGCTTTACTAAAGAACCCTTCGAAGAACCATCTTTCTAGATGAGACCTTCAATAAAATGAAAGTCTATGGGAGCAGGCAACAGAGTACGAGTGGAAGCTCGTACACAAATTTCTCTCTAAATCTTAGAATCCTTCAAACGCCCAAAAGATTTTTTTTCTTTTCGTTAAGTGTTCGACCAAAAACGAACCATCTCACAGTGTACTGAAGCTACGCTAAGCTAACTATGAGTTACAGCGGTAACCCTTGTAGTTATCTGAGCATTCAGTACAGTGAGTTTTCAGCCACGGCCATTAGGGCCTCTCAAGTCACCCAGATTTTAGATCAGTTGCTTAATTTCTCACTGGATCTTTCGATATATGTGACCTTAACAGCAGATCCATTCACCACTTGGTGAGTTTAAAGGAACAGCTTGAGCCAAGACGCTAACTAGCTAATAATTTAAAAAAATCCACAATACTGAGCAGCACAACTTGCTGAGAAGGCTGTGTTATATAGATAGCGACAGTTTGAATGCAGTTAAGTTTGATTCCCAGATATACGGCAGCCATCCATGGCAAAGAATCTAGAACATAACTGGCCATGTTAGGATAAAATAATTGCTTAGCTCCTCTTTTCTCAGCTTGTTGCAATATGCTAACTATGTTAACAGGCATCCTGATGCTGTCTGTCTTGTTGGTCAGTGTATCTGTTGTCTATGGTCACACAGACTGAGTTGGTCAGTTCATCCAAGCGTAAACTCCCATACTTGCAGAAAAAAATGGTTAAAAGGTAATACAATTTACATATATATTGTAAACGATGATAAACCATGCTAAATGTTAGCCACTAACTTTCACTTATTGCTAGTTATGCCATCATTATGGTCAGGCTGTTCCTTTAAAAGCATTTAGAGCTCAGTTTAACACCCTTGTTTGCATTTCACATCAAGCCTGAAACTAAAGACAACAGAAGCGTATCACAGTCGGCTCCAACAGCCAAGTTTGACTTCCTTAGCAGCCGTCTTCCATATGGCGCCCCATCAGCCACTTTAGTGTGAGATCACTGAGTGATTATATACAAGCCTTGAAAAAGCCATCAAGTTTCACTTAATCTTGCTGCACATATTTGAGCTTGCACTGCCCTCACAAGGACCAGGTAGTGTTTTTTTGGCCATTGAGTGTGTCCACATGCACTCAATAATCCAATCATAATCAGATTTCTGCAGTTATCAGATTATTCATATGGTCATGTAAACACCATTCTCCGATCTAGAAATCTAAAATAAAAAGAGAGCTGGATTTCAGCTCAGCAATCAGATTTATCAGTGAATCTAGACTCTCACTCTGATTTCTTTTGGATTTCTCAGTCTGTGCGAAAACAGACTGCGGTACCGGAAACAAGCAAACAACGTTGCTGTGAGACGCAGCAAAACACTTTTGGAGCGACGCTGAAACCAAACACAAAATAAAGGATTTAAATATTCTTCATCTTATAGATGACGTATGTTCATATTTTCAGTTTTGTTCATATTTTCAGTTTTGTTCATATTTTCGCAATGTTTAAAAAAAAGCTGCGGCATGATGTTTTACATTACGCTCATGTCACGTCTTCTTCCGTGAGTTTATTGGCTGGTTGTAAAGCAGAAATCCGATTACTGTCTGACTCATGTAGACCCAGAGTTTACTAAAGTGCATGTAAACGCACTCATTGTTTAGTGTGTTCTATAGCACAACAGAGTTGAGTCAATTTGGAAGAAATCAAAACAGTGGCTGAAGCACCTGAGATTGGCATTCATGCTACAAGTTTTATCTGTTATGGTTGGACAGCAAGTCATAGCTGAACAAAAAAAGTATTATATATCTGCTTTTTAAGTCTTTTCTCTTTGGAGAGGATCTCCTGACTGGGTTCAGCAAGGACTTAATGTACCAGTCGGCTCATTAGCGAAGCCCACATGCACGAATGCTCACTGAATCTGAGAAACGACTGAGAAAGATTGCAGTATTCAAGCCTTTCTTTCCAGGTTAATTATCTATCATGTTAACAAATAACTCTGGCTATGTTCTCAACACCTTTTGCTTCTAAAATGTTTCTTTGGAATGTTTTTTTTTTGTCTAGATAGATATACGCCCCAGTCATGAATGGGCAAAAGACAGCACCAGGCCAATGAAAGAACTACTACTGCGTTTATGAACACTGAAAATGGCAAGTCCAACTACTGTGATTTCATAGATGTATCAGCTGTAGTAATTCCTCATTGGGGCTCTAAGCCATTCTCTGCTCCACATCACTCCCATTCAAGTACGGGGACAAAAGTGGTGACAGTGGAAAATATTTGGATAAATAACAAAATTATATCTCTCTATATCTCTAACTTCCTTTGTTTGATTACTCACAAGTATAAATAAAGGATATTATAAATATTATTTCAGTGACAATCCTAAAACATAATAATAATGCACCAAACTACTTTGTCACAGAAATAAAAGTCTTCAAAATATTTCCATGTTAGCATGTGGCATGTCCAGAATTCTTTTGGTCGTTGTACAGATTGTCAGTATAAAACAGCCATATTACACATGTGCATGTGTTCCCACTTTTTCCCTCCAGTGCTTTTTGGCTCCAAGCTCACCCCAAATACAGGCAGGGTGCCATAGAGACACAAAAACTAATGCTTGAGCAATGCAAAGGAATAAAACGTGCACTGAGAAAGCACTCGCAGCTGCTCAAACCCAACCACACGGGACTGATGCACTGGTGGTGTTGATTGTGGATGAGATCACTCTGGGGACTGAGCTTTAGTCCCTCCCCCGCAGGCACTGAGGTGTGGAAAGAAGCCACGTAGCTCCTGGTGATGCGTCATTGGAGCATTGCTGCCCAAAGCCCCGCACCCCTCAGACCATCTCCTCCTCACAGTGGGCTCCAGCTATGAGCAACGAATGTTTATCAGGCTCGCTCAGTGCCATGCTGTTGAGGGAGTGCTTGTCTGATCGTAAGGAGTTAATAGAGGCTCGGCTGTAGTTGACCAACCGGTCCAGCAGGCTCAGTTTGGGCGATGGGCGCCGCAGATCCCCAATGCCTATGTGAACGCTGATGTCTGACAGACTGCCCTCCCCGGTCTGCCTGCCCTGCTTGGACAGCTGTTTCTCCAGCTTCTCTGCACTGGGTTTATTGTAACTATGGAAACAGAAATGAAAAGACAACAGATGTTAGAAAACGAAACTTGGCTGGGTTTCCCAAAGCATCTTAGTTAACTTTAACCAGTAAAGAGAGTGATCAGTGTGATGCTCACATTACAATATTAAGAATATTCTTTATTCCAAGTTGCTTTTGGGAATTCTAGCCCTGGACTACGTTTCCTTATGTATAATACAGGGTGATTCAAAAAAAAAAACATCTAATTTCAAAATGATTTATTTCACTTGTAAATAATTACAGAACAATGCAGTAAACTGTAAATGGTTTGACTGAGCATAAAGTTTATTATGTATTTTTAAAAGAGCTCAATATGAACCTCCTCCAGCTGTACGGACAACATCAACGCCACAGTCAAATTCATCCCATACTCTGTCACTATATTCAGGTCTCTTTCACTGCGATTCCGGAGATCATCCAGGGTTGTTGGGAGTGACACATAAACAAAATCCTTAACGTACCCCACAAAAAAGAGTCACACGGCGTGAGATCTGGTGATGCGGGTGACCCTTTTCTTGGAACTGTCAGTACCAATGACGAAAGCTCTGAGCTGTTGGAGGTTCACTGCCATACAGAAACTCTATGACCCCCTCTTTCAATTGGTATGTGATTGGTTCCTAGGTGCCTCATGGTTGTAAAAATATGGCGCTTTGAAATCGGATTAATCTTTTTTGAATCACCCTGTGTGGTATAGGGATGAGCTCTACCAAGTACAAATAATAAAGGAAAAAAAAAACAAAAACAAAAAACACAGTCTCATCTACATCACAAAAACTTCAAACTTTGTCATCCTTTTTTAAACACCATTTAAAAATAGCAGTTACTCTGAACAACATGAGCTTTTCATGATGAATGGGCCAATAGAAATGCTCTAAAATTACATGGAACAGATTCTTATAATATTAATGAACATTAAAATTAAGGCTTTTTCCCCCTACTCCTTTAAAAGTTATCATTTCAGAGAATATTGGGTTTTGTTATGACACTGATTTTATACAGGTCCATACATGTGATCGAATAGTAAACAAGAAAGTACAAAAATCAATCCCCAAACACCAAAGAGAGCAAACACCGCAAAGACACAATCATTTATTAATATGTTTCAGGCAGACAGTGTTCTTGCAGTGTGTCAGAGCTTAGATACACTCACCACTTGAGCAGAAGGGAGGAGAGGACCACAGAGACTGAAGAGGCTGCCATAGCAGCAGAGCCCATCCAGGGCTGCAACACCAGGCCTATAGGCATAAAAATACCTGCAAAAGAAAGCAGCTATTGAAATCCCCGGATCAATGGGCCAGAGATGTTATGTACTAATTATGATATCTGAATCATATCGACACTAGTGGATATTTATTTTATATATGTCCAGTATTTCAAACTGATATTTGATGAAGTATTTCTTGTTTAGGTGATAAGCTACAGTGCTAAATCACTGGTAATATTTTAATTTGACTACATTTTTAACCCAGTAGAAATAAATAATACATTTTTTTGTGAAATGCTAATCCATTATTATAGTGACTGAGGTGATCAGAGTTTATACATACATAAGCTATAAATAACCATTTTGGTATTAGGCTTTGACTGATTTTTAATGCTAAAAAAGGTCCATTTAGATGGATATTTTTTCTTCTCTGGTTAAACTTCAGGCAGAAAAGGCTACTTTCATGGCAAAAATGTTGTAATGTTATGCATGTGCTCACCGGCTGCAATAGGAATTCCCACAAGATTGTAGATTAGTGCAAATACAAAGTTAATACGGATCCTTTTGACTGTCTTCTTTGACAGATCAATGCTTGCAACAACATCAAGGAGATCATTCTGTGAGGGCAGACAGACAGCATCATAGAGAACAGGCAAATATAAAAAACACATGAATTATTGTCTCGGTAAAGTCATGCGGGAATTTCATCATTAAATTTAACTGCGTATTGTAATATTGTCTTAAATAATAAACAAACATATAAATGGAACCATAACATTCGTGCAGGCCTTATTTTTTACCCCCTCCATTAAGTTAAATTAAAATAGTAAAAAAAAATAATAATTACAATTATTTCATAATAAATAAAATACAAATTGTGCATTTAAATGTTCAGAAGTGTTTTCCAGAAAGTGTGTTAACTTATTTTCACTTAGAAAATCAATGTTTGCATACAGCTGCATATGAAATCCAGCTCGATTGCAGTCGAGTGGATGTAACACATGTTGGGAGCTCTCACCTTGATGAGCACCACATCCGCTGCTTCAATGGCCACGTCGGTGCCTGTGCCAATGGCAATGCCCACATCTGCCATGGCCAGCGCAGGTGAGTCATTCACTCCATCTCCCACCATGGCTACGCGCTTCCCTTCCAGCTGCAGCTGTTCTACCTTCGCCACCTTGTGAGAGGGCAGCACCTCTGCAAACACCTTCTTGATTCCAACCTGGACAAACAGCAGAGGAGAACAATATCAAAAGGGCTAATCTATACAGAATTAATAAACAAATGGATATGACCAGTTAAATGATGAGATGGTAAGTATTATAACAGTGATATTTTTCTTAAAAGGTCTTCGAATATCAAAATACAGACCATGGGTGAGAGCCACAGCACCATCTGCTGGACAACAGCTGCACTGCCATAAAGTAACAAAGGCATCAGGCAGGCCCAAAGAGCTAAAGGAGGTTTCAGTTCACAAAGAGGAGCTCTGTGAGTTGAGTTTCACCTTGGTACTTTCAAAAGAATCACAGAGGCCTGATACTTACACAAAACAAGACTAAAGTCTAAATATCACTCAGGGCCAAATCCATGTAGGGCTGGGTGATAAAACGATAGCGATAATAATCACAATATAATGTTCCTCGATAAAAATGTTCGATGTAATAGACCATTCTCACACTTCCTCGTTCTAGCGACAGCCCTGGTGGCGTTTTCTACTGCAAGGAAAGCGACACTACTTTGCTGTTGCCAGGAGAGGGCGCACTTCCGAGTTTTTCGACATGACTGGGAGGGGCACGAGTGAAATGAGTCGGCAAATACACTTCAACAACGTCTGAAACGTGGAGTTATATATTCCGTTTGAGTGGAGCGACCGGCGTTCTGTTCTCCTGTGACCAAGTGTGAGTGACGAGTTAACTGTACTGTCCTACAGTGAGCTCACCTCTTTCCTAACATCCTAACCAGCTTTAGCAGCATTAAAATCACATCTGCTCCTCACAACTACAGCACTGTTACAGCGCTCGGACAGTCATATTTTAGTATTAGTGTATTCCCAAGCAGCGAAAGTGAAACGAAGAAGTGGGATAATGCAAGTTACAGGACTGATTTAAATGAAAGTAAACTGAGGATGCTGTGGCATTGGGGCTAGCTGTTTTTAGCAGCTGGCTAACTTGAAGCAGCGCTCTGTCACTCACACAGCACAGCGAAACGATTTAATTTAAAAGGACTCTGTTTGTCTGGTGTGAGAGATTCACACTGCAGTTAATGCCTTTACACAGCGACTAACTACTATGATAGAATAGAGAAATCCAGATGTCTGCTGGTGTTTGAATACTCTAATATGCTCTGATATGGACGTGGTGGGAGTGATGGCAGTAAGGTGGTGTGATCCATCCTTGACCTACCGAGCCAGCTAATGACTGCTGTTCATATTAAACTGACGTTGTTGAGGAACTAAACAGTTTAGCACGTATAACCAGACAGCTCAAATTAATCTGTTTTCTTTCTTAAATTACAACCGTTGCAAAAAATTGCAGCCGTGCATTTCCAGCCAACCAGAAACTTTCTCCCACTCTCCCATGAAAGATTTGTGAAATGTTCCACTGTTTGGTGAGTGTTTATCATGTTCTGACCATAAAGCATAGTTTAAAACAGCAATTAACCACTCAAGAGCAAAAATCAGCCTTGAAAGAAATAATGATTTGAGATTTATTGTGATATGTATCGATATCGACTGATATGAATTTTTTTATCGTGATGATATTTTTGGCCATATCGCCCAGCTCTAAATCCATGTGAATAGAGGAGTAGAAGAGTACTGTACCTGAGCAGCGATGGCTCGTGCTGTCTTGCTGTTGTCACCGGTCATCAGCACCACCTCCAGACCCATAGAGGTAAGAGTGTGGACAGCCAGCTCTGCTTCTGGCTTCACCTTGTCTGCTATGGCAACCATGGCACACAGCACACCTGAGAGAAGGTAAACAGGTGCTGTTTGAGAGGTGAGCATTAGAGGTGCTGTCACACACTAAGGATAAAGCAATCTACACCAAAAACAAATCTGAACCACTGTAGGTCATCCATCCATTCGAATCAGTGCTGCTATCTATACTCGCTCCATGACTGTTTTGCACTAACCATCCACAGCCACTAGTACTGCTGTGCAGCCCCTTTTCTCGTGCTCTGTCATGGCGTCATCCACGTCAGGCCGAATGTGCAGAGCATTGCGCCTCATCCACTCCCTGTTACCGATCAGGACTGCGTACGACGCCGTCTGTACCAGAGCTAACAAAGCACAAGAGAACCACACAGGGGTTAACTCGCCCAGCTTCACTACCCAGGAACACATGCAAGTTAGATCACTTTATGATATATACCACAGATATGAAAAAACTAACCGATTAACATTTGGATCTGCAATAATATTAATCTGAAAGAGTAATTACTTTGTAATTACTTCTAAAACAGGTTCAAAGAGTTATCTGTTCAGAACTTCTATCTCTGCCTTTCACTACACCAGATTGTGTTGTATCCTATTTTTTTTTTTTTTTTTTTACATGGAGCAAGATCATTTTTTTACCTGTATTTCCAAAAAACATCAAACGCGTCACTAAAAAGATGCTGGAAAGTTATATCACCTCATGGTGATATAACTCAGAATTACAATTACATTAAAAAAGGGATGCCTGTCTGCCTCTTTGAGTGTTTAATTTTGTAAATATTATTGTGGTGACAGAACTATTAGTTATCTGAAATCCACAGATTATTCCTCTAATTCCTCAATGTCCAACATTCCCCAACAAACAAAAACATTCTAATGCTGACGGCTTATCTAGAATGAGAACTAACACGCCAAATGAACCAGTGTGAATGAGTGAAGAACACTAACAGTGTGAATGGATGGAAAAGATTATAAAACAGTGTGAACTGAGAACATCCTAGAGCCGTGTGAATTGGGGAGAAGATAATAAAACAGCATAAATGAAGGAGAACATTCCGAAACTGCGGATAAAGGTGAACAATCTAGAACACTGAGAAAGGGGGAGAACATTTTTGAACAGTGTAAATAGGGAGAGAACATTTTTGAACTGTGTGAATGGAGAAGAACCTTCAGCAAAAGCATAATTGAGGAGAACATTGTAGAAAAGTGTGAATGGGAAAACATTCTAGAAACCATAGTATAGAATGATGATTCCAGAACGTGTGGCAGATCCCAATGCTTGGCTCTGCAGTGTTTGTTGGAGAACGTTGGATTGAGTTGCACTGTGCTCAAAAGTTACAGAGGCTGACAGTAGAGCCCAACCGATAAATCACCATGCTGATATTATCAGCAGATCTGAGCTGGCAGCACATTAATCAGTACCGGTTATTATAAATGGCTATTAAAATAGAAATGAAGAGGCGCAGGACAGATCTTTTAACCATGTTAGGTGTGTTGTTGTGTAGTTTGTCCAGTAGAGGGCACTCTGCAACTTCCCTGTTGGCAACACGCATTTAAAATGCCACAAATCACAATCAGCTGACTCAAGTCGAGCAGAGTAACTTTATCCCACGAAAGAGGTTATCGGCCTTCATGGTTAGCTGATTATTGTCACGTACAACACATACTCAAATAACAATAAAAAATATCCTCATCACTTCTCATCCTAGCCTAAATAAGCCTGGCAACATTCATATCAGCCATGCCTGCTTTTGCTGCAGTAACATGAAAGCTGGTAATGTTGGGAAAAAAAAAAAATCATAATTAGCCTACGTTTAACGTGACGGTAGTTGAGCAGTGTAGGCTAAGCTGCTGACAAACTTAACTGTAGATTTACTGATGTAACAGTGTGGCAGCTCTAGCGAGTAAACAAAGACCCAGTCAGGCACAAGGCTGAAGTTAGCTGTTCCACCGTAAATGGTGCAGCAGTGACTCAAATGGCGCCAGAAGGTAGTTGCTGCACCATTTAAGGCGGAACAGGAAAATTTGAAAAAGAAACTCCAGCTTGGTCATTTAGGCATTTAGAAAAGCAATGGTGAATTTATCTTCTACTCGCCTGTCTGTAGTTACAATCGGTGCATTGGAAATTATAAAAGCTGAGGCGACACGTAAATAAATATGAGCTGAACAAGTATCTAACATGGATTGGTAGCAAAGTTATCTAGCTTTTCTTTCAAATGTGTAGTGTGTGTGTTGTAATAGTTGTTAGTGAACGTCATTCACTTCTCAAAATATTCCAGTATAGTTATGAGTAACACGACATGCTCAGACGCTCCCACATGTAATCCGGCTAATCATTAAATTCTTATGTGTGAAATGCCAAAGTTGCAAGTATATTTTTGCACAAATGCATTGTGTTATCTCTTAACTATATTTTCTTGATTTTTTTGATTATGTTATGCTTTTTTGAAGAAAAAAAGAATATCGACCGGTCCAATTTATCTGATTTTTAATTACTTTAATATCGAAATTGGGATCGGTCTTAAAAATCCTGTGTTGGCCAGGCTCTAGCTGACAGTACAGGGGTCGGCAACATGCAGCTCTTTTACTGCCCTGTTGTGGCTCCACAGCAGAATTAGATTTTTAGGTAAAAATAAAATAATCCTCCTTTACAGTAAAATAAAGCTCTGCTGATCATTCTAACAGTTTTAACAATAAACAGTCATAAACTCTGGAGTTAAAGCGGTCTATAACTGGTAATTCACCTTTTAACCCTGAAGGCTTGTGCAAAGACTGCTGGTCACCATAGCAATTCAGACAATAGTCTTGCCTAGCTAGTAGCTAACGAAACAGCAAAGAGAGAGATTTAAGATGAACATCGATAATTTGGAGCCAAATGGACTTATTTGCGTTTAGAATCACTCCGCCTGGTTTCCTGATACGTTTAACCTGCAACAAGAAACTGTCAAACACTATAAAGTCGCAAAGCCTAAGTCAGCTTCTTGTTTGAATTTTCCCGTCTCACCTTAAATGGTACAGCAGTTACATTCTGGCGCCATTTAAGGTAGAACAGGAGAATTCAAACAAGAAGCTGGTGAATGAGAACCTGACTTCAGCTTCGTAAACAGGCAACCGCTGAGAGACATTTTACAAGAAACTTTTCTAATTTTGAAGAAAAGTTTCCTGTCAGAGATGTGAGAAAAGAAGCTATAGCTGAGCTAAAGCTTAAAGCAGAGCAAAGTAAGTCTGTGTTTTTGTTCATATTTTATATTTTTTAGCCTATACTAGCACATTAGCACATACTGAGACATATTCACAGCCAAGATGGTGAAATGGATATAAAATGTTGTGGCTCCCCAAGGTGGTTTGATTATGGTTGAAAGGACAAAATGGTTCTTCTTCACATTTAGGTTGCCAAACCCTGAGCTAGGCTATAGGACTTACCAAGTGGCTCTGGATCCATGATGAGGGGATGTGTGTTCGAAATGGCTCTGGTATCACTGATCTGCACCAAGATGCCATTGCGCTGGTTCTCCTCACTATCGCTGTCTTCTCTCTTCAGCAGGTTTTCTGTGTTGCTCACCTGACACCTGATCCCACAGCCGGGGACTGTCTGGAAATCAGTGCAGGTGCCCAGCGACTCTGTGTCCAGCTCCTGAGAGCCAAATAACAACGTGAAAACAAGCTACACAGCCTACCAGACATAGTCAGATATGGCCTACAGCAACAATCAACAAACGCATTATAAAGCCACTGAGAGGGAGGTCACAGAATGGGCAAACCTGTTTACAGTAGCGGGTGATTGCTGCCCCTAGCGGATGCTCACTGTTGTTCTCTGCCGTGCCCACAATGGCCAGCAGTTTGGAGTGAGGCATTCGGTTGCCCTCCACCACCATCTTCACCTGCACCACCTCGGGGGCTCCATATGTGATGGTGCCAGTTTTATCAAACACCACAGACTGAATCTGAGACAAAGAGCAAACTTTTTCACTCTATGACAGCTTTACTGCAATGAAAACATACAGCAAGTAAATTATCATAAAAAACTAAAGTAATATTTTTTTCTTGTGTGACTAGAACTTTTAATATCTTCATGGTTAATTCCTCTTCCCTTATGAAATACCATTAAACAGACATGGACTCTTGCTCACTCACCCTATGAGCCATTTCTAGAGGCTCACCCCCTTTGATGAGGATCCCGTTCTGAGCCCCGACTCCTGTACCCACCATCACTGCTGTGGGAGTCGCCAGGCCCAAAGAGCAGGGGCAGGCGATGCACAGCACAGTAATGGAGGCCTGGAAGGCTAAACGAATGATTGCCTCTGCCTTAGATACACTCTTATCATAACCCTGCAGAGAAACACATAAATCAGTACAGTGGATTTCACAGCCCAGGGTCCCAAAGCCAAATGCTTCAAAGTCTAATCATCTTTGCAACATGAAAGTGTAAAATGATACTTATTCTGCCATACTGTAAAAACACTGCTCTGCAGTACTTTCAAATTAATCCAGATCATACACAGATCATCCATTACATCTCCGTGTTTCTACACTCATTGTCCATTTTATCAGCTCCACTTACCATATAGAAGCATGTTGTAGTTCTACAGTTACAGACTGTAGTCCATCTGTTTCTCTGCATACTTTGTTAGCCCCCTTTCACCGTGTTTTTCATTGGTCAGAACCCCCACAGAGCAGGTATTTTATATATGTGTGTACGTACGTACGTGTGTATGTATGTATGTATTGATGAAATCCATGAAATCCCAAAACAATACACAAACAAAATAGCTCATGTACTATAGGATATTTCACCAAAAAACAATCTTCTATCAGGCGCATGAGGCAGTCAGTTAGGAGGAAAATGAAAATTAGGCCAGTCAGTAAAACAGGAGAACAAACAAGTCTGGAGCTGTTGAGCCCAGAGCAGGGTTTTTTTTTGTAGAAGCAGAGGCTCAGAGCACTTACAGGGAAGTATGTTTCCACCAGAGAGAAGTTAACAAATCCAATCACAATCCAGGAGAGGAGGGTGAGGACAGAGACCGCTACAATGAAGGGGACAAAGTAGCCACTGATCTTGTCCGCAAACTGCTGTATAGGAGCCTGTGGTCGAGAGAGAGCAGGAGTAGAAAAAGAAAGTTCAGAAGGCAGAGGCCATCAGACAGATTTTTAAACATCATCACAAATAATAATAATAATAATAAAATTATATATATATATATATATATATATACACATATATATATAAGCATTTACAGTCACTACACAGAAGTGTCTTATAGGCGCACCTTGGAGGTCTGTGCCTCCTCCACCAGTTTGACAATCTGTGAGAGGGTGGTGTCTGTGCCCACATGTGTGGCTTGGATCAGCAGAGCGCCATTCTGATTGATGGACCCAGCAATCACTGTACTGCCAGGCTTCTTCGTCACAGGCATGGCTTCACCTGGAGCACGAGAGACGATTTTAACAACAATCTGCTGAATCAACACGATGTCCATTATGAATTGAGTTCTTTGTGTATTTTAATTTGGGCAGAAATTAGGAAATTAGTGAAAATTTAGAGCAGCAGTTCCCAACTAGTGGTGGTAACTACATTTATATCAAGAGGGAACGTCCCTCTTGATATACCATACTGTGATTTACTTTTATACTGGTATACCACCCACCCCTATTTCCAACCCTGGTCCTCAATATTTTGGTGTTTTTCCTGCTTCCAAGGTCCCTTTTCCAACAAGCAGTTAACAAAAAAGCTGAAGTAGATGTGTTGAAACAGGTAAAACCGTAAACCGTGCAGGACAGAGGGTACTTGAAGATCAGGGTTGGGAACCAGTCATTTAGAGAGTAAGCGTTGTATAATTAGCTGAAATCTTTGAAAGAGATTTTGCACATCCGTAAATTTTTTAACCACCATGTATTAAACTTAAATGAGTCTTTGTAATTCCATGATTGAAGACATGGTAAAGCCCAGCCTGTCTTACCGGTGATGAGCGATTCGTCTGCCATTGAATGCCCTTCAATCACTCTGCCGTCTACCGGGAACTTTCCTCCAGGAACCACTTTCACTGTATCACCCCTCTGCACCAGCTCCACATCCATCTGTTCCTCACTGAGAAAGTCAGAGAGACATAGACAGTTAATCTTTTGCCTTCTTACAGGAACGGCTTGACAAATTTACATGAATTTCCACTTATCCCAAATACAGTCCTACAGCCAAGACATGTCTGGTGCCAAATATTGCTCCTTCAGTTTAGACCTGGAGCTGATAAGCTAACAGTGTCAACAGTCACTGAAACCTCTTCCCTAAATACATGCCAAGATCATCGTAAAAGGACTTGCAGGTGGGTTGGAGGAGTTACTGGTGGGATTCAATGGATGCATTTCTTTGTGTGTATATTCAAGTTCATATACATGCAGTTGAGGCACATTTATGCAGAAATCGTGGTCCTCAGATTTGTAATCTGACATTTTATTGATTTGAGTACACTTGCTTAGCATCTCCACCTGTGTTGCTCTACCCTGCGAATGTGTTGTGAATTCCCTTATCTTTGGTCATCTTGCACAGAATGACACCAAATTGTGCTCAGCAAAGAAGTGATTCTAAATATCTGCCCATACTTTCAGCAGATAGATTTTTTTTTGTTTGTTTTATTCTTCATAGTGAGTCATACTGTGTTTTAAACCACACACTTGTCTTAAATTAAGACCTGAATGTGGTTTGAGCAGGTTGAGAGGAGTCTTGGGCATGTATGTATGAAAACAATTTGGGTGAATAATGACTTCTACTGTTTGTTAGCAATTTTAGCCTAGCAGCTTCAGTCCTAAACTACAGAAGCAAAATTTGGACACCAGACATGTCTTGGCTGATCGACTGCATTTGAGCGCATGGGGAAAATTAAACAATTTTTGCCGAACTAGACTAGGATATGTGAATGATCTGTGTGAATTCTGGCATCAGTAATCGTGTATGAGAACAGCAGTAACGCTGCACAGTATTGTGTAATGTGTCTAGAGTAAACAGCTGAAAGCAGAAAACAGACAAAAATGTAACATACCTCAACACTGTCATTGTATCTTTATCCAGAGTGACCACAGTGGCCTCAGTCGCCTGTAAGGACATCAGCTTGGACAAAGCCTCTGATGTCTTACTCTGTGGGGCAAAGGACAGGAACACCATTTAACCATTATTAATAATTTGTGAGAGAACATCAACATAGCTATGAAAATGTTGCATTTATTCTCCAAGTTTAGTGTTAATGAACCAATGCAAAAAAGCCGCTACAAGCACAGCTGTAACTACCTATGAGGACACAGAGGTCCCAACCTCTGTAGTTTCAGAAAGCTTTTTTTTTTTCTCTCAAATATCTCCATTCATGAGATTTAATGTGGAAACAGTGCTGATATGATAAATGCCTACTCAGAGGCAAAGCCCTCACAGGCTTGTCCAATCAAATGGGAGAATAATATTTATTTAACCACATTTTTTAAGATGACATTCTTATTTGTTTTCAATGAGTGCTGTAACTGTATTCTAGCAAGTCATATCAGCACATTCTAAGCCATGCTCCGCCTTACTTTCCTTAGCTCTCCAATCACTGCTTAGCATCTGTTGCTATCCACAATTGGCTCAAACCTTCGGTTCGTTGTCAGCGTTAGTCATGAGGACACTGAGTTTTTGAAGTGTTTATGACAAAACTACTCAATCAGCTGTGACTGACTCTCATCTGAGCTCAGAGCAGCTGTGGTTTGGCCATAGACTTCACAGTCCGCCGTGTTTATCTCTGTACAAGAAGCTACAAAACCGCTACCTAGACCAACTTTGACTTCTTGAGATTAAACGTTACAAGTATTCAGCATGCATGATACAGATTAACATAAAACACAGCTATTATAAAACGAAAGAGTTTATGAGGGTAATAAACAGATTATGATTGTAAAACACAACCTGTGCTTTTGTCTAGTTCCAGCAGGTGCTCAGTTTAGGCTACAGGCTCTGAAGTTGACTGCATTAGCGATCAGATTAGAAAACAATCGTAGTTCAAAGCTGTATTGTGTCACCAACTCAATACATACTATAACCAGCATGAGGAAGTTCACTGTTAACTAGCATATTGATGGCACAGTATCATGTAATGTAATTCAGAAATCAGCAGGTACATTTGACTGTATTATGTCTGGTTCACTGTTTGACCATCTTCCTTTCTGCTAGCTGGGGTTTGGTAGAGACAGACTTTAACGAAGTATGTTTAATGTATGCTTTTTCAGCAATTGGTGAAGACACAGCAGGAAGAGGCCAAAAGAGACAGGCACAGAGACAAAGAGAGATAAATAAAATAAACATGAATATAATACCAACTGGTTTAGTACACACAGGTTTTAGCATGTATTTTAAGCTGAAAATACAGAACTCATTTCTGTTAAAAAGATGGGACTTTTTGTAAAATGCTCTTGGACCTTTACTTGACTGACAGAAGTACAAAGAAAAGATTTTCAATGTTTCCCCTGACCAGCTCAACTTCTGTAAATATAAACAAATTTTGAATTTGATGCCTGAAACACACTCAAAACCTGTTGGGACGGGGCAAAATAAGAATGGAAAGTTCTGAGGTGAGGATATCAGGACTGGGTTTAAAAGGAGTATCCACCAAAGGCTCAGTCTTTGCAAGCAAAGATGGGTCATTGCTCATCACTTCAGGCCAAACTTTGTGAAAGAATTGTCAACCAGTTCAAAAAGAAGATTTCTCAATGCAAGATTGCAAAGAATTTAGGATTTTCTACCACCTACCATACATAATACCGTGAAAAGTAGGGCTGGGCAATATGACAATGCATATTTTTATCATGACAAATTATGTCATAATAAAATACAACATGCTTCTCTGAATGTTTCATGTATATCAGTGCTTGTAGAACATTCATTATAAATCACGTTTCATTATAAAGAGAGCAAAATTAGTCCCATTTAACCAGATTTAGTTTAACACAGTTTGCCAAACATTGAACAACAAATCACTGTATTAACAGTTTCTGACAGTACTTTTAAAAATGTAGCACTACTGATTCTGTTTTTCTCGGTTCCAACTGATCAGATATCTGAAAAAATAAACATCATGACATCATGTATCTAGAAAATTTCTTTAAATATCACGCTATTATATTTTCACCATATCGCTCAACTGTAGTGAAAAGATTCAGGGAACCTGAGAACTCTCAATCCGTGTATGAGACGTCACTACATGAGACAGTGCTACATGGGAAAACATCATGTTACTGTGTTAACTATAGCCATGTGGGCTTGGGAGTATTCAGAAAACCACTGTCACATAACAGTCTGCCACTGTGTTAAGTGAATGCAAGAAAGCCACACGTCAATTTGATGCAGAAACGCCACCGAGTTCTCTGGGCCCAAGCTCATCTCAGATGGTCCGAAATGTCTGCTGTGGTCATGTGAGTCCATGTTTCAGCATGTTTTTGGAAAAAAGCGACGACAAGCTCTCCATGCCAAACACAAAAGGGACCATCCAGACTTTATCAGCAAAAGGCGCAAAACCCCACATTTGTTGGTATGGGGGTGCATCACTGCCCTCAGCATGAGTCACTTGCATATGAGTGAAGGTACCTCTGGCCTGGCATTTGCGTGCTTGACTGGCCTGCCTGCAGTCCAGATCTGTCTTCTATTGAAAATGAAGACCAGAATTGGACGACGACGAGCACGGACTGCCAAAGCCAAAGTCTTGTATCAAACAGGAATGGGCCAAGATTTCACTTGCAAAACTGCAACAATTAGTATCTTCAGTTCCCAAACAATTAAAAATTGTAATTAAAGGTAAAGGTGATGTAACACAGTGGGAAACCTGCCTCTGTGCTGCAGGCGTCAAATCCTAAATTTGTTCATATTTACAAAATACAATTGAGCTTGTCAGGGAAAACACTGAAAATCTTTACACTTTTGTCAGTTAAATAAAGGTTCAAGAGAACTGACAAATCACAGATTCTTGTTATTATTGCATTTACAAAATAACCCAAGTTTTCCTTAAATGTGGCTGTCAAATGGGTAAATAAATAGTTAAATCATTAATTTAATAAAATTAAGTAGAGTAAATAGAGTGTTTGGAACAGTAACAGCAGTTTATGAAAGACTGGAGGAATGGGAAAAGAATAAATGCAAAGAAAATTTACATAATTATGGATGGGTAAACAAATGAGCAATAATTTGGTTAAAAAAAAAATAAAGGAGCAACTGACCTTCGGTGTAATACACATATTTGGCTATTTGGTAGGTTTAATCACTGTGCGAAGTAGTTAAGTTCTGTAAAATGACCTCAACATGTTGATCCTAGTTACAGCCCTGGGTTTGGTTAGGTTTGCTACATGTAACATTCATAATGGCAAAATGACTTGTGACTAAGATATTAGGATGGAAGGATGTCTCCAAATTCAGTTCTCTACACTACCACTGTCTGAATAACAATAAAAACAAAAACCCACTGATAATACAATCACATGTTAAGGGACTGTACCTTGGCTATTTGCTCCAGCCACCTGCCTAGTGAGATGAACACAAAGAGCATCGGTGGTGTATCAAAGAAGGTGATGGGGTTAAGCTTTGCTTTCTCTATCATGGCAACCATCAGAATGACCACAGAGTAGGCGAATGCTATGGAAGTGGCCAGGACTATCAAAACGTCCATGTTGGCGGTCCAGTGCTTTAAAGCTTTGTATGCCTGGGTGTAGAAGTAACGGCCTCCAATAAACTGCAAAGAAGAGCAGAAGACTAAATATTAAATGTTTGGACAATCAAGACCGTGTTAATTGTGCTGAATTCACTCATCAAAAGCAATAAATCTTGCAGTAGGAATAACAATGTGATGAACAAAACAGATAAGATAATAACCTATAGAAGATCATTTAAAATCAGTGAGGGCTCAGAAATAAGCACACTAAATGCTACATTAGAGTTGGGAAATAGGACAATATTGTTGACAATATGTAATCATTTGCTTTTATGAGCATATTGTGGACATTGGCAGTGCTTAAAGAACACTCCATTACATTTAGTACAGTAAAAACTGAACAAAAATCATTGTCTCAAGTCCCAGAAAAACTAAACATTGTCATGCACTCAGTATTTTATAGAAACTTTATGACCATGACATTAATTTTGTGCTGCTTTTGCAGCCTAGATTACTGTGGGAGTTTTGAGGTTTTGGAGTTATAGAATATTAGGCTTTGCTCATACAGCAGGTAAAAGTGGCAATCCAATATTTTTCTTCATATGTGACAGATGTGTGTCTGTGTGGCAGTGTGAACAGCCAAAAACGCACTGAATCTGACATTTTCAATTCCGATTTGAGATGCTTTCATATGTGGTACTGAAATCCGATACTTATCCGATCTGCGGCAATGTGACTCAGTCTGAACAGCCAGAGCAGAATTTATGCGACTTTTACATCAGTCCAACTCGTCATCTGTCATAATTTTGCACTGCTGAGAACTGTATCAAAAAATTCAAAGGCACTTATCTCAACCGCTCCGTGTTTGAAGAGATTTGGAAAGAAATGGCTGAACGCGGTCGTAGGGGAACGAGGCTGCAGCGTCAAAGAAAAAAGTTTAAAGAATCCGAGGACACAAACCAAAGAAGTGGCCGTGGCAGAATAAAGTGCACTTTTTACGGCGAACTCGAACACAGGGTGATGAGCCCAGCTGTCAGTAGCGAAGCTTCATGATGGCTCCTGTGATGCTGGCGAAGAAGAAAATGAAAGCTCCAGAAGTGACTGGCGTTCGTTGGCGGTCATGATTGTTTACCTCTGGATTAGTTACGTGAAGCAACGTTAAGCACTGTTCTTTTGTGCATGCAGGTCAGTTTAGGAGCTGATCTGTCCAGACTGATGTCACATACAGGTCAGAGTTATAGAGTTAAAGATAATGTGAACAGACAAACAAAAAAAATCGAATTTGGTGAGAAAATCAGATTTGGGCCACTTTTACCTGCTGTGTAAATGTAGCCTTAGTGTCTCAATGTGGTCTCAAGTGCATGAGAACCCCACTCCTCAGTTACAATAAAGTGTTCTTTGTTCAGCAAAAACATCCATTCAAGGAATTATAATTCAATGTTAAAACCCATAAAAAGATTTTAAGAGTAACCTTTTACACCATTTGAAAATGGCCCTTTACAAGATGTGAACATTTCATGACAAAAGGACAAGTAAAAGTTGTCTTAACAACTACTAATAAAATCTTGTTACTTGTGAGAAAATGAGAGAGCCATTTTTCTACGTAAAACAAATAAACACAAACAATGCATTGTGATTTGATGTGTGTGCGTTAGCTTAACTATTTCCAAATTTGTTACGACAGCGGTAAACATTGCTTGTATGGGTAGTAAAGTACCTGCACAGGCACACAGAAGAGGAAGGAGAGCAGGTTCATGATGGACAGGCCGGGTAGAAGCTGTCTCTCCAGGAACATGTGGGAGTGGTAGAGCTGTCGGTCCTCTGATGTGAAGTTGTGATGGTGTGACACTTGAATTGTGTGGTCCACCACCATCATGTAGATCATCATGCCCATAACAGGAACACAGAACACCAGGCTAATCAAGAAGGACTTCTTCCATCTGTGGGGAAAAAAGAACACAAGCAATGAATACAAACACAAATACATAAGAACAGCAGCCTTCTAGAGTTGTGGAAAGCAGTGGGATACTATGCTTAGTGATTACTAAACCTACCATTGCCTTATTGTTAAAAGGGAATTCCATCGATTTTTCAAAATTGTGGCATAATTAAATGGTTAAGATGTAAATAAAGTCATTCAGAGTGGTTTGTTGTGAAATAGTCTGTTGTAGAGAAACTTCAGAGTCAAAATCATTCACAGTGGCAGTGATAGGAACCAGACATCTAAAGAGCTTCTAGCCTCTAAAAGCTTCCTCACGACAAGCTGATATAAAAATGGTTACAAATGCACTGCCTCATGCATTCAGGCTGCTGTAAGAAAAAATAAACTAAGAAATGTGTTTTTTTAGATTTACCTCTATTTCACCATTATTTCCATTACATACAAAATTACACAAAACTATTACACAAATCTCAGAAGACGTGGTCACTGGTCATTTTGGATAGCAAATAAAATGGTTACATTTGCTTTGCAGACATCAGGACCTCTGGTTTCCATCACCACCACAGTATGGAAATCATCAGTTTTCAAATAGTAAAAGGGATTTCTTTTCAAGAAAAATAACTTATTTTGAAAGTTGAGTTTATGTGATAAGATTTTGTCATTTTGGTCCATTTCTATTGGCCAATTAGTCATGAATTATATTTTGATACAGTGTAAACAGCAGCTGGTATTTTCATATGATGGAAAAGGAGAAAAAAAAAATGGAGATACAAGGTTTAGATCCAGTGGTGACGATACGTGAGTGCCTGTTTAAAGCAATAGAAGTGTTCACATCAACAACTGTTGCCATGATATTTCAACCAAATCCAGAGCAACTGTCAATATCGGATACCACTGTGCACTCGGCTAACCCTATCATTATCCAAACACTGAGCAAGAACCAACATGCGGATGTTCAGGAATTTGCTCTGTGAATTCCCTGCTCTTGCAATCCAAAACAAATACACATAATCATATTGATCTCAGTCTTAAATCAACTGAATTAACCACAGGAAAAAACAAATAGTCACTTATTGGAAATGACCCATTTACTTACTGCTGTATCTCTCTACTGTGATCCAAATGACTTCCTGAGCGATCTTTCTTCACCAATGAAGCTTCAAAACCCAAATCCTGTCAACAAAAAAGCACCTTTTATAAACACAAAGAGGAAAAAAGTATACCACAGCTAATGGATTTTACGTGGAGTTTATCACAGTTTATCACTTTATTGGAATAGGACTTGTTTTATAGTTTTGGTAACCATAAGCACATTCAGCAGGATCCTAGAAAAGCATCTATTTCAAGTTCAATATGCTTTCAAACTGTTCCATGTCTATGTAAAATCCCTCTGGCCCCAAGTCACATAACGAACAAGCTGCTAAAGCCCAAAGCCTCACCTCTATCAATCCGATTATGACCCGAGGGCCCATCACCTCCGGGTCATATTTAACATGGGCTTTATTCGTTGCCAGGGCCACAGACACATAGTCGATGCCCTTCTGTTTCATCAGGTTAGACTCTATTTTGTGGACGCAGGAGGCACAGGTCATCCCTCTGACCTGTTGGGCAAAGTCACAGAGCCTTCAGACCATACTCAGTGATTGTAAAACCTCGCCAATCTCCTTCGAATAATGAAACAAGCAAAAGATACAAACCACAAGCTCCAGAGAGCCATCAGAGCCATCGTAATCCTCCATAACTGAGGAAGAAAAGCCCAGCTCTTTGATGCACTCTGCAATCCTCTGAGGGTCGATGACGGAAGGCTTGTAGCGCACCTCTGCTTTACCGGCCATGAGCGCCACCAACACCGAGTGGATGCCTTCAGAAGAATCACAACTCTTTAATACTACATTAATCATTAACTGTCATACTGTACTAGTTAACTGTTTACACTGCAGGTCTTCTTATGGAGTTATTAATCTTAAGATGTATTATTCAGTAACTACTATGAACAGTTCAGCAACTACTTTGAAACTAATATATGTGTGGCCCACAGAAGGCCTTTACAGTGTAAGCGGTTAAATAACCATTGTAGTGTAAGCTTGCTTGTCGAATACACTGATATGCACTACACAGGCATTTTCTTTCACTCAAACCAAAATATTTTATGGAGGACAACTGACTTTCAACATCATGACAATAATCATCATTGACAACAGCATCGCAGTTATAACTAGAAAAGGCACACTTGTGAACAAACTAAGTTAGCTTTACAAAGCAAGCTAACAACACTTCAAAGTTAAAGCAGTTTCAGACAATTGTTGATAGATTTTGATAACTGGGTTTATACAGTAATCCCAGGTAGTTGTTAGAGTGCTGCATGGTAGCAGTTTGGTGGCAGCAAACATGCTGTTTTCTCGTGGCTATGTTATTTCAGGTGGTTGCTAAGATGATTCTAGAGCACACCTTTATACTATGGTATTCCAGGTCGCTAAAGCCAGGGTTACACTACAAGACTTTTACTGATTTTAGCCCCGATTTTCAGTCTGGCCGAGTTTGCGCTAGTTAGCTCCAGTCTGCAGATTTTTGGGTCAGTCGGAGTAGACAGTTGGAGAGAGAATCAAGTTTTTTGCCCCCCTATCGCGTTTCAGACCAGTCGGAAAATAACAAATATTTGATTTTTTTTCGACCCGACTTTGAGCATAATCTAGTAGTGTAAACTGGTCAACAGCTCAATCTGAACAGATTCCTGTAACAGCCAATGAAGACAGAGAGCGCAAAAGCTTTTTAATGAGCTGAGTTTAAGGCAAGAGTACAACTGAGTTTATGTACGCTTAAAAAAAAACACTGATCAAATTTTTAAATCCATGATCCTCACTTAAACATGTTTACCTGCTGTTTCTTTACTGTATCAGTGCAAACAGCAGAGAAAACAGCAGCAGTGAGCTGCTCCACGTTTGTTTATTTAGGTAACAGGAGAACGCAAGAGTTTGCGCGAGTTCGAGTTCGTTCGGTTCAGCAGCAGCTGAAAAGTTGAGTAGTATGTGATCCCCAATATTTCAGCACCCTAAAAAACCAGTCAGATAGTGTGAGATGCCCAGTCTTTTCATAATCTGTATAGGAAGATTTTAAAAGTTGTGTAGTGTACCCAAGGCTTAAGGTGTTGCTAGGCCATTGCTATGGTATCCCAGGCGGTTACTAAAGTGTTAATAGGCTGTCAAATTTGAACAAACACTGTACGAGCACCATAAGTCGAATCAGTAAAAAAGCAGAGGGAACCTATTCGGTTATATGATCTATGATCCTGCAGAAAACTGTGGTCCTAGCTTAAAAAAGCTGCAAGAGAAGTAGCACTGAATTGTGTTGAATATAAATAATAATAAGATAAAACACAGAACAGTAATTTGGATTTTGCAAGCCAACTTAACTATTTAAAAATGGTTCCTAAAACTGGTGCATTTTGTACCACATTTATCTTTGTTTGCTTGGCTGCGCTTTACAGTAACACTCTCACCCTGTCAAAGCAGCTAACAATGAATCAAAGCCGGTGGAAACCCATCACGATCTTATTTGCATAACGCTAACTAGGTCCTACTTTTTTATTATAAGCATATGTAGAATTTTTGTCTGCTCTAACGTGTTGGTCAGTGTTTATGTTCTTTGTTCTTCTTTGCAAGAACAGAACTCGGTCAGTTTAGTTCTAAATCATGCAGAGCTCACCAGGCTCATTTTTAAGGTTCCTCTCGATGTTGGCCACACAAGAGGCGCAGGTCATGCCCCCGATCTGGATGAAGCATTTGGATGAAACACGCGACTTTGTCGCTGACTCAGAGTCACTCTCCACTTCCTTCTCCTTAATGGTGGATAGTACAGGGGGAAAGGGTGGGCTCCAAATAGACAGAGGAACCAGCGAATTTGTCTCTGTTCACCACACATGAAAGAAATCAAAGAAAAAGCATTGCTTAGATTCAATAGAACTTATGTTTAGATCCAAAATATGGGTAATCACATTAGGTGCGCTTCTGCTACTGGGGCACCCAAACGTCCCCTTTTAGGAGCAATAAGATATTCACCCATCTATAGATATTTATCTACCCAAGCATCTACAGATATCTACCCATCCATCTACAGATATCTATCTACCCATCTACCCATCCATCCATTCATCAAATGACAGAGCAGTATTAATGCCAATGGCAAATAATTCATACAGATAATTCAACCAAGGAATTCTAAGGTGCTGCTGCATGAAACTTACAGAACTCTCTCTTTGATGATTTTGTCAACTTAAAGACTTACTGGCTAAAAAAAAAAGTCAGAATCATAAAAATTAACCTGAAATTTCACTTAACTTTCTACACAATCAGACAGTCAGGACAGCCATAAGTTATGAGCAGGCCTTCATCCAATGTGAGAATTTCTGAACAAACGAGTTGCTTCAAGCCAGAATTAGTTTAATCCTTCCATCCATCCTTTACCTTCATATGGAAAAATGGCCCTTGTGGTTTAAAATTTGATAATAAGACAATAAAACTTAGTATAGCAGCTCACCAGGGAGAGAAGCATCAAAACCCATTTCCTCAATGGCTCCTCGCAGTTCTTCCGGTGTGGTCATCAGCGGGTCATACTCGAAAGTACCCTGGTGGTTAGCCAGGGACACCTGCACAGATCTCACGCCTTTTTTCTCAGACATGGTGCCCTCAACGGTTTGAACACAGGAGTCACAAGTCATGCCCTCTATGTGGATCTGCACTACGGACGCCAGTGGCTGCAGAAAGTTAGGCTCTGGGGACGAGACTACAGAGGGTTCTGAGGGAGAAGCGGAAAAAACAGCATCTTGGGAGGTTAACTGGGCTTTAAATTTCCCTGGAGGCAAGGCCTCAATGGCCTTCTGCAGCTGCGTCACTGTAACCAAATTTGGGTTGTGCTGGACTACAGCCTGTCCTTTTTCCAAAGAGACCCGCACTGAGCTGACCCCTGGCAGCTTTCCTATATTGTCCTGGATATTCACCACACATGAGTTGCAGTGCATTCCTGTAATGTCCATTGAGGTGGTAGTGGTGGTGGTGGTGGTGTCTGTGGGCTGTTCAGTGGCCCTCTCCTCAGGTGAACTGGGACTAGTCTGATGAGAGGCGTTTAGCAGGCGCTCCACAGTGGACAGCTGCAACTGACGGGGCTTGGATTTCACAAAGGCCTTGAAGCCTGCCACGCCGATCTGGTTCACAATCTCCTCTACTGAGATGAGGTAAGGCAGGTACAGCACCGTGGCTTCCTGAGACTCAAGACCAACTGTAAACAAAGTAAATATACAATTCATGTTATTCTTGACAAGAAACTAGAACGTAAATAGACGCAAATACTGTTCATTTTGGCCAAAAGTAGAGATGACATATTTACACTGATGGGTATATGTATTGGGCTGATATCAACAAAAAATGCTGGATAAGATATAAAAAAAATTATATAAATAAGTGAATAAATAAAAAACAACAAATCTAATCCAATCTTGTTACAAATATTTCCTGAAATAGCACACACTCACATTGTGTGATGTGCACTTCTTTCTGTGGGGTGGCAGAGTGTTTTAGTAGTTTGTGCATTAACAGACTTCTGTTTCCAATCTTCATCTTATGTGTCAATTTAAAAAAAGCTAATTTTAAAGGGCAGATATTCTTAAAGAAAAACTCTTGGACTGGTATCTGTATCAGCCAAGCCATTACTCACAGCTTCAGTACCGGTATTGGTACAGAAAAAGAAGTGTTGTGCCAAAAGAGCTACAATAATCGCTCCCATTCCTGCATATTTTGGCGTTTTCCTTGCTCTTACACACCAAAGGCCTGTCTAACAAAGCAGGCTTTATGGTCGATTCAGCCAACTTTAAGCTTAGTTTAATCTAACTCTGGATTTTCTGTCTCACAATGGTGGATCACTTTTTACAAGTGAACTTTTACTGCACGCTTAACCTGCTCCAGGGCAGAGGTTTATAGAACATTAAACCTAATACAGCCACTAACTGAAAACACGGCATCACCTTTAATCTTCTTCACTCCCTTTAACTTCCCGATCTTGCCCTCGATGGTTGTGGTGCAGGACAGGCAGACCATTCCCTCAATGCGCATCTTCACCACCTCCACACTGCCGGAGCCACGGCTCACCGCCCGCTCTGCGGTACTCGCAGGCTCCAACTTGAGGGAGCTCAAAGCCTCCCGGACCTGCTCCGGACTCACCAGCGCTGGGACAAACTTCACAGCCAGGCCGTTGCCCTCAACACTGTCTTGGGTCTCCAGCACACCCTTGAGCTTGGCCAGCTGGGCGACAGCCTTCCGCTTGCTGTCTGGGCTACAACCGACTGTGGGATACACTCGGGTTTCTGTTGGAACTGGCGTGGCTGGAGAAGCATTTGTTGCGATAGACTCAAAGCCCATGTCTTCAATGGCATCTGCTAAAGATTCTGGGCTCTGATGGGCTTGGTCAAATATCACTGTGGCATTCTTCTTTTCCAAGGAAACCTGCAGCACAACACAAGAAGATCAAAATGTACAGTCATATATCAAAGACACCCCAGTCAAATAACACGTTCTGTTGAAGTGGAAACAGGTATGCATCATCTACGGAGTCGGCACATTTAATGCACAATTACTCTCTTATTTGCTCATTTTAACATGCAGCATTTAAAAAAAGTACAAAGTGCAAACAGTATTTTATGTTTATGTTTTTCCAATATATTTAATTCTGCAAATAAAAAGGAAATGTGCATTAAATTCAACAAAACATGTAATTTGACCGGTATTGTCCAGAATTTCGCATTAGACTGTGACATATACTTCAATTACACACGCTATAGCCTGTTTAACTGCCCCATAAAAGCAGCTAAAAGCTGTAAAACTGCAATGAAAGAGCAGCGATGACCCCGCAACCAGTGTTGAAACATAACTGCGCGTAACTGTGTGCTTTCACACGTCAGTCCTGCACGCACACTGAACTCAACGATCTCCCTCACACACTCCGAACTTGTGATTCACTGATAGTCACCTGACCCACCAGCACAGGGTTGCACGTGAGACACACAGCAACAAGTCAGCATGTTTAAAAAAAAAGGAAGGAACAGTTAAGTTAGTCGTGCTTTTATACCATAATGGAGACTAGGACTTCTCTCCACTGTTGCTGGATGCTTGCCCGTCAGGTAGAGCTGGGCAATATGGCCAAAAATTTTACCACGATAAACAAAATTCATATCGTTCGATATCGATACATACCACGATAAATGTCAAATCATTATTTCTTTCAAGTTTGAAGGCTGATTTTTGGTCCTGGGTGGTTAATTGCTGTTTTAAACTAACCTTTATGGTCGGAACACGACAAACACTCACCAAACAGTGGAACATTTCACAGATCTGTCATGGGAGAGTGGGAGAAAGTGTCTGGTGAGCTGTTTTTATCAGCTGGAAAAGCATGGCTATTTTGTAATAGTCATAATATAAGAAAACAGATTATTTTTAGCTGGTGCCGAGCGCTCGGCTACCCCGCTACAAATGACATCACAGTATGCAGACACCAGCTAGCGACGACTGGATTTCTCTATACTATCGTAGTAGTTTAAGGGGTGAACCGCAAAATATCAACACCAGACAAACAGAGTCCTCCTTTTAGGTACGTTTAAACTGAAAGCGGTGCTTTTGTGTCGTGTTTGATCTACAGTATCATCAGTCCGCCGTGTTGTAGAGTGACGGAGCGCTGCTTCAAGTTAGCCAGCAGCTAAAAACAGCTAGCCTGGAAAGATAGCGCTCTCCCGCTCTCCAATGCCTCACAGCTTCCTCAGTTTACTTTCGTTTAAATCAGGGCTGTAATTTACATGAACCCACTTCTTTCTTTCACTTTCGTTGCTTGTGAATGCACTAATACTTAAATATGACTGTCCGAGTGCTGCAACAGCACTTTAATTGTGAGGATTGTGATTTAACGCTGCTAAAGCTGGTTAGGATGTACGGAAAGAGGTGAGTTCGCTGTAGGACAGTACAGTTACACCACTGACCTCGTCACTCAGACTCGGTCACAGGAGAACAGATCGCCGGTCGCTCCACTCAAACAGGGAATGTATAACTCCGCGTTTCAGCCGTTGCTAAAGACTCATCTTACTCGTGGCCCCTCCCTCTCTAATCATGTAGAAAAACTCGGAAGTGCGCCCTCTCCTGGCGACAGCAGAGTAGTGTCACTTTCCTTGCAGTAGAAAACGCCACCAAGGCTTTCGCTGAATGTGGAAGTGTGAGAATGGTGTATTATATCGAACATTTACCGAACATGTCGTATCGCTCTATCGAGGAAAATCAATATAGCGATAATTATCGTTATCGTTTTATCGCCCAGCCCTACTGTCAGGAGATATGATGCCATGTCTGTTGAAATAAACTACATCACAATGTTTTCTCGTGTACATTGTAGGAAAGATCAGTATATTCAGAACACTGATTAAGTGCATATATATATATAAAAAAAAGACTATTTTGCCCTTTCAAACTTGGTCACAACAACAAAACATCAGCATATGCATTGAACATCGTGAAACTATCTTCAAGTAGACAGGCAGCACCAAAACTCACCTTGACATACACTCTCAGAAATAAAGGTATGAAACTGTCACTGGGGCAGTGCCCCTCTTGTCACTGGGGTGGGACACTCAAGAGTACATCTCAGTACCTTTAGTCAGGGAACATATTTGTACCATAATCCACTGAAATTATATTTTCTAAGTTGTACTGACTCCACACACCCCGTCTCGTCTCCAGGCTTTTTGTTTTATTGCTCTGTTTTAAAAAATTCGGTTATGAAAAGAAACAAATATGTACTTTTCACAAAACCTTATTTAAGGTTCACAACTGGACCTTAAAACCACTGTTGTACCTTTGAGGGAATACATACATTGTTTGTACCTTGATGAACGAAAAATGTACCTGCACAGGACCTTTATTTCTAACAGTGTGCAAAAGTCAGCAAACATTTACACTGTGATTTCTGTGTTTGTCTTCGCTAAAGCATTTCCAACTCTCTCCTTGAGGAAGTCCAGTGTTAACAGTAACCATCCAGTTGTGCTGTTTATGAGATTTAACAAATCCATGCAATCAAATCTGTGCTCTTCCAACCAAGATACTAATAACTTTTTAAATACATGTTACAGTGTTTTTACTGGCCAAAACATTTACTGCCCCCCGCAAAAAACTTTTAAACAACAATGCCCAATGATATGGGGGTCATACATATAATTGCTTAAAAAAATTAATCAGCATTGGATAGACATTTAGATCTGATTGATATTTGATGGCATATGTAATTTACTCCAGAAGACCAGAACGTTTGGGTGACACTGGGCTAGTGTGTTAAAATATCTGTATTTCAGTCATTTTACTGCGTTTGTAACCTTACAGAGATGCACTACTCCTTAATGATAATCTAAATTTTAACATTTAACATTCATGTACCGACACTGGCAGCTGTGTGCATGAAAAACATTTACTCCTCAATACATACAGTCCATATTTGGAAACTAAGCCAAAAAACAAACAAACAAAAAAAAGAAAACAGCCTTTTTCAAATTCATTGTTTTTGTGATGTCACGAAAATCAACGTGCATTTGCATATGTCCGCCTATTCAGCCTGCAGCAGTTTGGATCCGCCCACTTACACGAACATTAATAAGGAGTGTTTCCGCCTGGACTACTTACTGAAAGACACACTACAGGGCAGCCAATCAGAACAGAGATCTTTTACATACATTCTTAAAAGTATTAAGAGCACAGTAACAAAAATACCCTGTTTAGTGCTATGGAATAAAGAGATGGGACCAATGTCTTACTACGGTTTTTCTAAAATTTACTCGAGAAAGGTCCTTAAAAAAGGACGCCAGATTCATGACGTGTTCTCAAACCGCAGGGCTGTTCACACCTGTGTGTAGGTCTGTGTAGATGCTGTTCTTACCTGAGAACAAATTCCAAATAAGAAAACATTGGTGAATATCAGAAAGTGGGTTTCAAGAAAAAAAATATTTATAAGAACAGTTGGAGAACGAGGCCCAGTGACTTTCTGACTTTAGTTTCAACACTAAGACCTGTATAGCAAAAATAACTACAAGCTGTGGCTGACGTTTGTCTAACAAAGGAAGTCCTACTATTCTTAAAAGACTATAATAGTATTTGACATGTGACGTTATTGACCAGCAGTGACAACCAGCTCCTGCCTGGCAAAGGGCAAAGCTCTCTTACGCACGTTCATAAGAGCAAAGCCTTGTCTCTAACGCTCACGTAATTACATTATCTGCTTGTCTGACCTGGGCCTGCAGGGGGAACAGAACAATAAGGGAAAAGGGCAGAACAAATTAACAACAATTTGGTCGTATCTCTGAGCCATACAGATGAATGGCTTTCCTCAATTACACGACAGACCCTCGGGGAACAACACCAGTAAATCCTATTATGACTCTTTACTGCTCTTAGGCTGTCCATGTAGACCCATGACACCCAGTACCGCACTCATCACTGGATTCCTGGAAACTATCTGTGGCTTGACTTAGTTTACAGTAGTTTACAATGCCTGCCTTTGATAAGGTTCTTTACGACAGAGTAAAAACTAAATTTACTGCACACAGATTGTGAAATTATTTATTGATGCTGTTGCACATGAAGTTCAGCACACTGGTGTAATTCTACGAAGCATCTGTAAAAAACAAACCTACTAAATATGTGGGGTTTTTTTTTTCCAAAAAATGTAAAAGGATTTGGGCATGTTTGGTGAGATACACATTCCAAACGAAGAAAAGCAAGGAACCAGCTTAACACTCCCAGAGCATGTGGCAGTATTAAGCATGTGTGCACCGCATTAAACTACTTTGAGAGCATTAGGCCTGTGTGCTGGTATCTTGTTTTTCTTTGCGATATTTTTGTCCTGCACCTTGCAATAAGCTTTGGATGTTTACAAGGTAAGACAAAACATCCCAAACAGCTCAGTATTTTGTTTCAATGGCCAAAGGCTCCACACAATGTCACCAAAAAACGTGGCCAGTTGAGTCAATTTCACCTGTTAAAACTCTTATTTAATTACAGTCAATTATTAATGTATTCAATAGGAACGCATTGATACCAATACTAATACACCATGTTCATTTAGTCATACTCATAAAAAAATACACCAATACCCACATTCGTTACCACCGGATACCATGTGACCCAAGTGAGCAAGGGTCTGCTCACACAGCGAGGAGTTGCTGACGCCGTGGAAAGATGAAAAGTTGCTGGTCACTGTAAACAGTCTGTCCAGGCATATTTTCACCAGACATACGCCGAGTGATTTTAGCCCATTTTTAAACACACACAACACAAACACAATCATAACTACTTCCCCAATACAGGTTGGCACACACAAGTTAACAAAAGAGAGGCAAAGAAAAAAAAACATTTTTTGTTTGCAGTACTAAACTCCAGATTATTCCTTAGTTTGTTTGACAATACAGTGATTTTTAACT